AGATAGGTTGGAACTAAGTCAGATGTTTAAAGTGTTTAGGAAGTTTTTAAATATTTGACTTTGACATTTGACTGATACTTAGATATTGTCACTTAATATATTTGACTGGCATCAGAACTTTGCTGGCTTAATTAGGGCCATTTGCTGACAGAATGGGAAGAACTTCTAAACTCTCAAGTTGTCTAAGTATAACTTATCAATTTTTGCAGAATTTCAAAATCAGAAAAGTAGTACCTAATTCTGGAGTATAGGAAAAGGAAAAAGCATCTCCCTCTTTATTTCATGATCATAAATACGCTTTCATTGTTCTGTGACCCCAAAGTTCCCATTTTGGTGGCTCTGTAGGATAGATCTGCGGAGTCCCTCTTTAAATGGCCAGCGAACACTGACTCCGTCTGTTTCACGGGTGTGGCACTCTGGAGCCCTGGAGACTAGGCCGTGTTCTGCAAAGAACAGTGTGTATTCGACTTCTATTCAGTTAGCAATAGCAATTAAATACACTCCTGAAAAAGTGCCTTCAGCCGTCTTTACATCTGCTGTCCAGTAAAACTAGAGAAATACTGGGCCAGAATATTTTTTCTCCCCATCAGTGATATAGTAAAATAACTTTAAATGAAAGTGTGCTATTTGAGGACCCCTTCTACTGGGAAAAATTTGTGGCAATAAATCTAGTTAACATCTGTAAAACCTATATATGCAAAATTGTTTTCATGTGGTGAGGACTTAAACGATCTACTCGCTGCTTCAAGTATTCAGTTTGAGTATTATTAATCATAGTCATTGTGCTGTACAACAAAACAAACATTTAATTGTAACTTATATATTGTAACTGGAAATGTGTGTCTTGTGACGCCCTTCATATTCAGTACTTTTTATTTTAAAATTTATTTCGTGGGTTTTTTTGGGGGATACGCCCAGCAGTACTCAGGGCTTACTCCTAGTCTGTGCTCAGGGAATCACTCCTGGTGATTCCTGGTGCTGAGGTCCAAGTGAGGTGCTGGGGGTTGAATCTGGGTCAGCTGTGTCAAGACAAGTACAAGCCTAAACCCTTGTACTTTCTGATCTTATTCAGTATTTTTTTTTTAAAGTTGTTCTGGGGGCAGTTGAGGAAGTGAGGGAGAAGAAATACATATGTTTTTTGGAGGGTGGTGGATTCACGAGCTGTGCCCAGGAAGTTTGGGGGCCCTCTTGGCCGTCCTTGGTTTCCTGTGCTACAGTCAGTGCTAGGGCCTGAGGGTGTGGTGTTGCTCTGCTCGCAGTGCCAGGGATTACCTCATTCATCTCTGTGTGACTCAGGACTGCACATGGAGGCATGGAGGACCAGGTGGTAACAAGGTTTGAACTGGGGTTTGCAGCATGGAAGCATATGCCTTAACCCCTTTTCTATCTCTTTGACCCCAGGAATACTTATTTTTTGATGGTGACATTCAGAACTGGGGGGCAGGGCAGAGTGAAATTAGTAGGGGAATTTCTAAGTGCCAGATACTGCTCTGAGCACTTTAAATATGCTAGTCACCAGAACATTCTCTGATTTCTGGTATCTTTTATAGAAGAATATGAAAAACTAAGTTAAAGTTAGTGTTTTAGTTTTTAGGGGGGAGTGTTGGGTAGAACTTGATTTACTCTAAAATGGATTTCTCGAGATAAAGGTAATATTGCCAGCATAAGTAGGAAAATGGAAAGGACTTTTTCTTGAAAAGCTCACCTTGCAGAAGCTTTTCTTGCAGTTCAAGGTATTATAATTGCTGACATAAGTGGATTTTGCATGATGATGGGACCTCAAGGCATCACATTCCTTCCAGACTAGTTCTAGCACATGCAAACATGCTCAGATGTCTTGATTCTTTTCTTCTTTCCTTTCCTCTTCCACCTCGCTCTTCTCTGTTTTCTCTCCTTTCCATTCCCTCCTATTCCTCTTTGTAAAAATGATTCTCCTTTGCCTCTTTCCCCTCCCCCTTCCTTTTTTCTGTCACTTGTATAGAAAATCCACTTTTGTTAATTTTGGTTTTATTTGGTTGCACCCCTTTTCTGTTTTTGCCTTTTTGGGGGCGCCGGGAAGGGAAGAGCTGCTGTACTCTCAGTGGTGTTTGGGTCTACTCCTGACTCTGCTGCATGCAAACAGAGCATTTTAATTCCTGTAATTCTCTTTTCTGGCTCTGACACTATTACTTTCTTTAAAAAAACAAAGCTAACGTTTCATTGTATTTGCTATACTACAACATTTGAGGCATATAGCTTATACCTCTGTAATATATTTATTATCATAAACTTCACCATACTCGCCACCACAATTCTTTAAAAGATGAGGCTGCAGTTACTGTTTCTAGTTAATCATATTAAAATCTCTCGTCTGACCCCCTGCTTCTTTGTGTCAGATTGGTAGATTGTTCTTTTCCTTTTTTCCCCCCTTCTGTAATTGCTCTCCCTAGTTGCTTGAAATTTTTCTTATCTTTGGAGGATGATCTTCCCCCCCCCCATCAAGATATACATAGTTCCAATTTTTCCTTTATCCTAGTTTTTGTATTTAGCAAATATATAAGATAGTAACCAGTGCATTCTAGGTTATGGTTGTAGGTGAGAAGCTCCAAAGTTTATTTGTCCTGTTATTCCCTTTTCAGAAAATATTACTTCACCCTTTGAAAAATCAACCTACATTTAGCACAGAAAACACCCTTCTTCCCCTAAGTCTTTTTTGTTCTCACCAAAGGGTAGATACCAGCCATTTTGAGAAAACCTTTTCTAGATTCTTGGAGGTTTAGCAACATATGGACTTCTTGACTTGTAGAGCTTATATTTTCATGTGAAAGTTAGTTAATAAGCAGATATTTAATAAGGTAGTAAATCACATTTTAAAGATTAAATAGGCTAAGGGTCAGTAGACAATGATGGGAACACATTTTGGATAAGACATTTGAGATAAGGTTTTTCTGAGGTGATACTTGAGTAAAACCTGAATGTAGGGAGAGAGTGAATTATACTGGTATCTGGGAGAAAAACACTCCATGCCAAGGGAGTAGCAAGTACAAAGACTGATAGGACTTTCACTTGCCTGTGTTCGGAAAAGACCCGTGTTACTGGTGCAGAATGAATAATATAGTTTGGTAGGAGATAAGTTAAAGAAATTGGCTAGGGAAGTTCTTCTGAGGACCTTGTGTTCCTGGCTAGGGATTTGGACATGAATCTGCTATGTTGAAGGCATGGAGAGGCGTGAAAGAAGAATGGTAGTGAATGACTTAAAGGAATTTTAAAAGAATCTCATTGAAATGACTGCATGGAGAATAAAGTCTGCAAGTGTATGCACATTTGCAATTGTAACCTGAGACAGTATGAGAATGCTTTAGTAGAATTTAGGTGAGGATGGTGATTTGGAGTAGAATGGTAACTGTGATGGTCTGTAAATGGTCAAATGAAGGATGTAGTTTGTAGATTAGAGCTTGCTAGGCACACTGATTGCTTGAATGTGGAATGTGTGGAAAATGGAACCAAGGAAAGTTCTCAAGTTTGACCATTACTGGGAAAGAGAGGAGGAGCAGTTTCATTGAGTGCAAGAGGAATGAATGGAAGTAGTGCTTATTTTCAAATGTTTACTTTGAGAAACCTGCTAGACAGTGTAGTGAAGATGTCAGTTGCTTATGAATGGAAAAAATAACTTTGGGAATCATTTGAATTACAACATTACTTAGGGGGAAGTGGAATGAGTATAAACAAGGAAAACCAACCCATAAAACCTCCACTCTGTAGACATCTGCAAGCAGATAATTAACACTTAGAAGTGAGTAGTGACCTAGAAGGATGTGATATTCAGAAGTTTAAAACTTAACAAGAAGAGATGAGGGCTTAGCTATGTCAGGTACAGTAGGAAATAGAAGAAATAAAACCAGGTGATTGACCTTAGGATGTTAGCTTGCAAATCTTGATGATGCTTTGCAATATAGCCCTAAAATTTATAAAATGCTTCTTTATTTCCTGCCTACAAACATTGTTACCTTCTCCAAGTTTTTAAAAAAATTATTTCTCTCTTGATTTCAATGCGAATTACAAGTTGTAGCAAACTTAGAAAACAGATAAAGTACAACAATGCTTAAAATCTCCGTAATTCCACATACTCTTTTTACACTAGGGATTATTTCTGCTCTCTGGAGGTTTCATTTTCTACTAATATATTTGTGTTTGCAGTGCATGTATTGTATATATAAAATTGGGATTAAAAGTCTTAAATTTGGTGTTCCGAAATGAAGCTGGCAAAACTATCGATCTTGTATTTAAAAAAAAATTCTTTGAGCATGTGTGTTAGCACAACTATTTTATTATGGTGGAGTGCCCATCTGATTAAGCTCCCTGTTGTGCCCTCTCAATTAATTTTTCAGTGACTCCTGCTAAATTTTATTATTTCCTTCAGATTCATTGCATAACAGAATGATGAAACATATACTTTTTTTTAATGCTCCCAGTGGTGCTTAGGTTGTGGGGCAACTTCTGGCAGTGCTTTGCCAGCTGAGTCTTGAGTCAATGCTTGTTCCCAGTGAAAGATAGAACTTGGGAACTTTCATCTACAAGGTATGCTTCCTTCACTCCTGAGCCGTCACTCAGGACCCAAGCATACATTCAGTTGTAGCTCAAACTTTAAATCACCAATTTAAAGGTGATTTAAAGGGTGTTAAACTTTATGCTCCAAAATTTAATCATGAAGTTGGGGTTGCTGAGTACTCCAGCTGTACTTGGTTGCTCAGGATGTTCCCAACGATGCAGTGAATGCTACGTGAGTGTGAGAGTTGAGGACAAACCAAAAAGATTATAGCAATCTTCCTCATTAACCAGTTACAAATAGAATTTGGGAGTTCGGTATTGACAGTTTCAGTTATGTTAAAAATAGGTCTAGATTTTCAGGACTGTGTTGTATTGCATTAGACTCGTCTTGTAATATCTTCTGTATTGCCTTTACTTAACATCCAAGATTTTTAAAATTAATTTATTTGTTGTTGTGTTTGCTTTTTTCCTAGTTGTTGGTCTTGACGATATTATGGACGAAGGAGTTGTTAAAGAAAGTGGCAATGATACTATTGATGAAGAAGAACTGATTTTACCTAACAGGAATTTGAGGGACAAAGTGGAAGAAAATTCAGTAAGATCACCAAGAAAATCACCTCGTTTAATGGCGCAAGGTAATCTACCCAAGAGGGCCAGCTAAAAAATTGAAAGAATAGGGAAAAATAGGACAGTGTATGAACTTGCGAGTGATCATACTTTCTTGTGTTTTCTAGTCTGAGCATTTTGAATGTAGTCAATTTTGAGATCGTCGGAATTTTTGGTGTAATAAAAATTGTTATAAAAATAAAAATTGTATAGTAATAAAACGTTTGTTGACATACAATCACACAAAGGAATTGCTTAGCTCTTTATAAATTTCTAGTATCTGTTGCACTGCATCCTGTTCCTTTTTCCCAGAAAAAACTTTTTAACTTTTCCATCTGATTTTAGTTTGTTTGGGAGGGGTATTTATTTCCATGTCTCTGGTAATACTTCTGCATTCTGGTTATTCAGATTTAGATAATTTTTTCACTTGCTTGATTGAAATTGAATGAGTATTCTTTTATCTTAGTCAGACAAACATGTTTTCTGCTCTTGTAGTATACCGATTTATCACCATTAGTTTTATTATTGCAACTCTATGTGCCATTAGAGATAATTATTTTAATAAACTAGTTATTTTTATATTAATGTAGATTTTTTTCTTTCTGATTTAATTTTATTTGCCTATTTTTTACACATTTTTGCACAGTTTTTTTTGGTGTACAATATCAGTAATTGCATACAATTATTCCAAGTTATCTAACTTTTTCTTGAAGGTGTTTAAGCATATCCGGTACCCTGATATTTTTTTTAATTGAAGAAATGAGACTTCTGATCTCCTATGTGGTTTGGTATTCATCCTATAAGCCTGAGACATAGCCCGGGATCCTCTCTTTAACTCCTCCAGAGGAGTCTAAACAGATCCTAGTATGTCTGTTTTGTTTAGCTTTATTTTTGTGAAGCTTGTCTTTAAGCCGTTTTGTGAGAAAAGGTAACATACTTTTTAATCTTTGTATTTTTGCAGATGTTTTATCTGTTCTCACATTGGTATCAGGGTCTTGTGTATAGGACTCAAGGTTGGAAATATCTTTCAGAATTTTGATTTTTTTTTCTTAATTGTTTTCGTTTTTTTTTTTTTTTTGGGTGGAGGGAGGACACATCTGCTGGTGCTCAGAGCTTATTCCTGATTTAGGGATCACTGGCAGGCTCGGGAAACCAAATGGGGGACCATGGGTCAACCTTGGTCGGCCACATGTGAGGCAAGTTCCTTACTGTACTCTTCCTGTCCCTATTAATTTGAAAGTACTGTTCTTTTTCTTTTTCTGTTTTCCCCCCACTAATTTCATTGTTGAGAACATTATTCTGATTCTCTAATTTGGTCATTAGCTTCTAGAAGTTGTGCAGTGTTCCTCTTCAGTTGTATGGTTTTGATACTTATGATAATGCGATGCGCGTGCGCGTGCGTGCGTGCGTGTGCGTGTGTGTGTGTGTGTGTGTGTGTGTGTGTGTGTGTGTGTGTGTGTGTAAAAGAGCAGTTGCCAGGAGAAGATGGGCCACACCCAGCAGTGCTCAGGGCTGACTCCTCTTGACTTCTTGCTTAGGGATCACTCTTGGCTGTGCTTGGCAGAACCTGTGTGGTGCCAGAATCGAACTGAGTCAGCCATGTACAAGGCAAAAAAACCCTACCTCTTGTACTGTTTCTCTAGCTCCCTCCTTATTTTATTTTTAAATTATACTTGTGGCAACATGGTTACAATAGTGTTTGTTTATATTTTTGGTCTCCCAGGTGGTACTGAGGGAGCCACTCCCAGCAATTCTTGGCCGATGAGGTCAGAATGCCGAACGCACAGGTCTGAGGACGTGGTGCTGCTCTGGCCCTGTGGTGCCAGAGATCACCAGGACTACTGCTTGGGGGCCTTTGGGTTACACCAGAAGATAGGGGTGCATATGGTATTACTGTTTATGCTTACAGTATACTTCACTAGTGCCCAAGACCCTCTGCCACTGTGTTAGATCACTTTTAGTCCCCCCCATCACTCCCCATCACCTCATTTCTGTATTCACAGTGGAAGAAGTGGCTGTATTAGACACTGTTCACTCCCTTCCTTTGTTCTTTATATACTGCATGTGAGTGAGCTCATCTCGTATTTCTCCTCCTTCCTCTGCCTACTTTGCTTAACATGACCCTCTCGCTTAATCCAAGGTGTGGTAAAAGGCAAGATTTCATCTTCCCTTTTAACTGAGTAATATATAAGCCATGCCACTTTTTCCACCTGTCTTTTGTCGGACACTTATGCTGTTTCTACATCTTGGCTTTTAGACGGCAATGCACATATATATAAAGTGTGTACATAGGGCATAGTATCTGTATAAATGTACATATATAGTGCCACAGTGCACATAGATGTGCGTATATTTGCTCAAGCTAATGTTTTTGCATCCTTTGGCTTGATGCCAACGAGTGGAATCATTGGGCCTTATGGGAACTTGGGAATTATATTTTCAGTTTTTTGAGAATCTGCAGGCTGTTTTTATAGAGGCTCCAAAAAAAAACAACACTTTAATCCCAACAATGTTTTCTCTGCATCCTAGTCAATACTGGCTGGTTCTAGTATTTTTGATACCCTTCTTAACTGGTGGGAGGTGATATCTTACTGTTTTATTTGCATTTTGCATTTCTTTACCACCCTTTGAGGAATTAATGATTCTTGCCAGCACTACCTACTTAGTGTTCTCTTGAGTCTCTTTCATCAGTTTCCTCTTGATCATCTTTTGTTTGGTTCCAAAATCGTCTTTGTTTCCTGGCAGAGCTAAGGAGACCATATATGGTGTTGGAGATTGAACCCTGGTCATCTGTGTGCAAGTCAGGCACCCAGCCTGCTGTACTATCACTCCAGTCCCTCATTTTTTTTTCAGTTATGTCCTTTTACATTTGGATTTCCCAGCTGATATTCAGGGGACTTTGGGGCCGCTCTGTCATTCTTGACCATCTGGGCCAGCAGTTTAATGACAGGGCCTGAGGGTGTAATGCTACTTAGGCCTCACTTCTTCACTCTTCTGCCAGTGCTCAGACTCCTTCCAGACTGCACCTAGCAATGCTTCAAGGTCCATGTCCTAACTCCCAGCCCATAAGTCAGTATTTTGGGAGGAGAAGGGACTCCCAAGGGATGCTCAGGAGGTCTATGGGCCCCACTGGTGATTCTTAGCCCACCTGGCTGATAGTTCAGTGCAGTGGCCTGAGGATGCCGGCCATTACTCACATCACTCCAGAGCCACACCTGGCAATGATTGGGGACCATACGGTGCCAGGAACTGAACCCTGTCAGGCACATGCACTCTAACCATTGTACTTTTTCCCGACTCTTGGAAACATTTAGTTTTTTTTTGTGGGGTAGGGGAGGGTCACACCTGGGGGAGCTTATGGCTTATAACTTCTACCTCTGCCCTTAGGGATCACCCCTTGAGGCTTTGGGCAAGTTTATGGGGTGCCAGGAATCGAACCTGGGTTGGCTGCATGCACCTTACCTTGTAAACTATCTTTCCAGCCTCTGAAAAACATTTTCTTTTGTCAAAATATCTTTATAGTCAAATATCCTATTTATGTATAATCTTTAGCAGTCACTTAGGTAGATAATGTTATTAATTACTTAAAGGCCAGATAGTGTTTTGTCCAGATAGAGGAATAGGCAAGGGTTTCCCACCATGTAATTTGCAAATTTGGGACACTTTGGCGATTGAGAGTGTACTGTTCATCAGGATCCTCATCGTGCCTGACAGTTACAGATAAAGTTGTATGGACTGGAGCGATAGTACAGCAGGTAGGGTGCTTACTTGCTTTGTACATGGCTAACCCAGTTTGATTCTTAGCACCACATATGGTCCCCTGAGGCCCACCAGGAGTATCCCTGATTGCAGAGTTAGGAATAAACCCTGAGCACCACTGAATGTGCTCCCCTCCCCACCCCCAAACTGCCCAAAAATGTATGATACCTTATTTAAGGGCCTCATAGTTGATTTATTTATTTATTTATTGGTTTTGTTTTGGGGCCACAGCTGGTGCTCAGGGCTTAGCTTCCCTTTGTGCTCATTCCTTGGAGGGTCTCCAGGACCATGTAGGGTGCTAGGAATTGAACCTTCATCAGTCACATTGATACATAGTAGGGTTTTGTATTGAAAGGTAGACTTAAACTGGTGTTAAATTTCGTACAGCTAATTCAGATGTATTGAATACACAGAGGCCTAGATATATAGCTTCTCAGTATTGGTTTATGGATTGTTGTCCCACATACTGAATTATTTGGAGTGGAGATAGCACAGCGATAGGCTGTTTGCCTTGCACGCAGCCGGCCTGGCCGAGCTGGGTTCGATTCCTCCGCTCCTCTCATAGAGCCCGGCAAGCTACTGAGAGTATCTTCCCCGCACGGCAAAGCCTGGCAAGCTACCCGTGTTGTATTCGATATGCCAAACACAGTAACAACAAGTCCCATGATGGAGATGTTACTGGGCCCGCTCGAGCAAACAGATGAATAACAGGAGGACCGTGGCCGTGAATTATTTAGCTTCCCTCATTTTCTTTTTATTCTCTTTTTTTCCTTTCTTTGGAGATAACAAGAAGAGAAACTAATACATTCTTTGGTGGGAATATAGGTGGGAAGCTTCATTAAATTATTCTCACACTTGCTTTTGCTTCTATGTTTTCTTAATTCTTTTAAATTATGATTTCTTTTTGTAGATCTGTATCTTGACTCCAGTTTATATTTCATACTTGTGAATAGCTTGGATGCTAAAATAGTGATAAGTGAAACACATTCGTAAAAGGATTAGTTATTTTCGGACTATACTTTGCAATGGAAAGATGCTATTTATGAAAATATTTGATTTATATTTTATTTGTACATAAATTTATTTGGCTTTATTTTAAAAAATGTATAAAATTATATGACAGACTTTAAGATGACATTAGTATAAAGACTGTTCATTTTGCTTATTTTACTCCAGGTACTGTTTGTATAAAAGAAACTTGATGAAACTATTTCTTTCTCATATTAAGGTATAATGGCTCTCTGAGATTTATAGACATTGCCCCACTAAAATTCATATAACTTTGATAAAGGTTAAGGTTAGCTTATGTTATATATAAATACACGTTTGTGTGTGTGTGTGTATACACACACGCGCGTGCGCAAAGGTCATCAGTAACTTTAGTATATTTTCATTGTAGTGAGCAAATATTTTTATAGCTCAAAATAAGAACGTGTTTTTTTTTTAAATTGCATTGAAACAAAAAAATATGGCAACACAGCTAAGTTATTTTATTTATTTTTCCTTTCGTGATAGAACAAGTAAGAAGTTTGCGACAAAGCACTATTGCCAAGCGTTCAAATGCAGCACCGTTGAATAGCACAAAAAGGGCATCTGGGAAGACTGTATCGACCCCTAAAGCCGGGGTGAAACAAGTGGAGAGATGTCAGATTAAAGAAGAAACCTGTGCGTCACTGAAACCTGAGTACCATAAGGAGAGCAGAAGAAGCACTCGTCATACTGCACAAATTGAAGTGGAACCAGAAGTGTCTGTGTCTTCAAGTCATTCTTCATTGTCATCTTCTCTTGAAATAAAGGATAAAGTTGAATTAGATTCTAAACAGAACTGTACTAATCAAAGTGAAGCAGATGTGCCATCTCATGAATTAAATTGTCCACTCCTTTCAGAAACATGTGTTAGTATTGAAGAAAAGAAAAGTGAAGCTCTGACAGAAAGTAAAATGAAGACTGATGATAATCCATTGTTTAATTTTTCAGATAAAGAAGAGCATGAGCAAAATGATTCTATTTCAGATAAAATTCATGAGACTGTTGTTGCAGAAATGAGAGAAAGGGGGAAAATTGAACAAGAATCAGAGGATGCAATCAAATTACCCCATGAAGATGACCAAATTATCGAGGAACCTGCATCTTCTGTGACAGTCTCTGGTGATACTGCTTGTCCAAATCCAAATGAAACAGAAAAGAGCCTTGGAGATTTGTCTGGTTCTGTGGATGAAGTAAACGAATGTAATTTGGAGTTAAAGAATACCCAGGAAATTACTGACAGAGACAAGAGCTCCTTTCAGAGACATGAAATAGAACCAGTGGGTTATTGTAAAGACATAGAGTCCAGTGACAAGCAGTCAGAGAATACTGAATTTCATGAATCAACTTTAGAGGTGGTTGGTACTAATGCTTTAGAACTAGAAAATAGTATTTTAGAAAATGTTGTTAGTGATGTTCCTGACCAAAATTCTAAACAATTAAATATTGTTGAAAGTGTTAAAATGGAGTCTTATGAAGCAGCGAACATTCAGAATGACAAAAACAGCCCGTTAAGTACTATTCCTTGCTCAGAATCAAAAAATACAAAATCTAAACATGTAAAACCTGTAATTCCTCCTAAGCAAACCATGACCATGGATAATCTGAAGAAAGTTATTGTAACAAAGAATGAATCAGTACACAATAAAAGTAAAGTTCATGTCAAAAGTGTTAAAAGAAATGCTGATGAACCAGAATCACAGCAAAATTTTCATAGATCAGCCAAAGTGAGAAAAAAACAGGTTGATAAAGATCCAAAGACTCAGATGTGCAATTCTGGGGTCAAATCTATGAAAAATCAAGCTCATTCTATATTGAAAAAAACATCACAGGATCAAAATTTGGTGCAGATTTCCAAACCCTTAGTTCATTCTTTGAATGACAGGTCTCATGGTCCACCTGGTTGCTCCAAAGAACCGCAACATCCTGCACAGACTGGGCATCTAGTCCACCAGAAACAGTGCCATAAGCCTCAGCCACTGGTCACAGCAATGAAAAGCAACAGTCACGTGAAAGAAGAGCTTGAACATCCAACTGTGGAACATTTTAAGGAGGAAGACAAGCTGAAACTGAGAAAGCCCGAGAGAAACCTACAGCCCCGCCAGAGAAGAAGCAGCAAAAATTTTTCCGTAGATGAGCCACCATTGTTCATTCCAGACAACATAGCTACAGTGAAAAGGGAAGGCTCAGACCATAGTTCTCCATTTGAGAGCAAATCTGTGTGGACTCCCAGCAAGCAGTGTGGGTTTTGCAAAAAGCCACATGGCAACAGGTGTGTGTGTTTGTATGTATGTATGTGTGTATGTGTGTATGTATGTATGTGTGATGTATACCTTGAAGTGAAATTGCCTTTTAAGGGTGGGGTTAGTATGAACTGTCTCATAGAAGGAAATTACTTAACATACAAAGACTTTGACAGAAACAATAAAGCCTCATAAATCCTGGATAAATGATAGAAACATGGAGACACTGAATTACAAATGCAGAACATTCAAAAAAGGCATAGCCTGGCAGTAGCTGGTATATAATTGGTAATATTTGTAATTGTGACCAGTTAAGAATTTAGTTACCGCATCTGGAAACAGCAACAGAAATACTTTCAGCTAATTAGAAAATTGTTAAAACTTTTTGGGTCTTGTAAAATACATGTTTTATTTGGCTTCAGAAGAACTAGTAATAAAGTATGAAGGCCATAAGGGGAATAGTATTTTTCTTCTCAACATTTTGGGGGAAGTAAAATGAAACACATTTTCTACCACTACTTCGTAGATGTCAAAACTGACCTTGTAATAAAATTTGATGACTGAAGCAACTGTTTAATTACCCAGATGAATTTTGTATATAACGTGGAGTAGAGTGAAAGCTTGTAATTCATTTTTGAATATTTTAGTGAATTGTGAAGACTTTTTGTGAATTTTCATTTTTGAAATGAAAAATGATTTGAGCACGACCCTTTGATATTCCTGATTTAGTGTTTTGTAGTTTTGTGATACTGCTTCCCCTATGTTCCCTACATACTCTCTGCCACACTTTTCCCCCACCCCCAACTTCACCTCTGGTATATGTTTTATTTGCTGACTTTTGGGGGGTAGGGGTTCGGCCACTCCTGACAATGCTCAGGGCTACTCTTGGCTCTGCACTCAGGAATCACTCTGGGTGGGGCTCCAGGAGACCTTATGGGATGCCAGGGATCGAACCTGGGTCAGACACATTCAAAGCAAGTGCCTTACTCACTGTACTGTCTCTTGGCCCCATTTGTTAACTTTTTAAGAAAAGAAAAACAAGAGATGAAAATGGAGTTTGCAGCTGCAAGATTATCCTGTTCAGGAGTTCATATAACTATTGGAACTTCTATCAACGACAATAAGATAAAAAAAAAAGTTTAAGACGTACACTGTAATATTCTTAGTCATGAAAGCAAATACTGGAATGACTTTTCCCAGCATAAAAAGCGAATTAACATGAAAAGAGAAGCTTTTGGGAGGGACATTGTAGTCATCTGTATCTTAATACATAGGTGTGGGGTGTGGATAGAGATCTAGGTAGAGTTGGGCGGGAACTCTTACATGTAACTGTTCTGTCAACAGTAAAGAGGCTTGTGTGAAAGCATTTCTTCACTTGTGATCTAATTTGTGGCCTAATTCTAGATTGTGCTACTCTATTATTTTTTTTCCCTCCCACCCTCCTGGTTTGTGTTACTTTATAACACAACAGTGTTAAACTCGAGAACAACATATTTCAGTTTCTAACAAGTATGACAAGTTAGCAAGTACATTGGCCCTAGTGCATGTATTCCTTAAGCTTTTTAATTTAAAATACCTTTTCCAAATATTTTAAATGAGCTGCTAAATTTTTAGGCCTAAGAATTAGGACTAGATGATACTTTCAGGTAATCATTTAATGAAACCTTTTTCACCCTAAAGTTATCACATAGTGATCAGACTAATGAAATAGGGATGTTAAAACGTGAATGTGAATGTTTTTTTGTTTCCTTTTTTAAACAACAGTAGTTTATTCTCACAGGAAGGCAGCCAGAAGTCTGAGAAGAAGTGAATGAATTTTTAAGTGACCTTGGCCTCTAGTTGACGGCCTTGTTCAAATATTATTAATAGCTCTTTTTGTAGCTAAACTTCTGCTCTGCTTGCCTTGTCAAGAGTAATAACGGTCACTTTGCCAACATCAATAGTTTTCCCAAAATAAAGATTAAGTACTAGTCTTACTGTTGTTTTTGTATCTACTACATAAAACTATATATACTCTATATATACTATATAATGTCTATATAAGATTTATACCCCAGCCTGAAACATGACTTGGAATATTAGATGTGTAGGGTTTGAGTGCATCCTGTATAATTGATTAGGATTATTTATAACACTGGAAGTAATTTTGGAAGCAGCATTTTACATTAATTTTGTGAAGAAGCCTAAGTAATTTTTTTCCTTTACATATTAACTAGCCTTTGCTATGTCTTTGATATAGTGTTGTCACAAAAAAAGAGAAGGAAAAGAAAAAAAAGTACTTCTATGCAATCTGTCATCTTTCTCTTTTAATCCCTATGTAGGAATATGAATTTATTAAGGAAGGGCATATCTGGAAAGAAATTTCATCCATCTCTGATCTCTTGGCCCCATCCACAATGAGAGCTATTTGTTGTCTGATTTACTTTCTCACTCTTTTGATTTGTTTTCTGTTGGTTTTTGTTTTTTATGGAGCCATATATTGAACTCAGGACCTTAACACATGCTCGGCATGTGCCTTGTCACTGAGCTATGTCCCCTACATTTTCAAAGATTTTTAACTCTTTATATTTTTACAGATACTGCAATTGAGGTTAGGTTCCCCTCTGTACTTTCAGTTGAAAGTTATACTTTGTAACTGATTTATTCATGACATGCTGGATACAATATTTAAACAAACAGCTCCACTTGTACTGTAGGTATTGATTCTAGCTGTTTATACATAATGTTGGTTAGGGGGTTTTTTGTTTCCATTTTTAGTATATTCATAATTTTAAACACCAGCATATATGATACCCATATATATCTATACATATATACACATATCATATATCAACACATTAAAATATCCTGAGGTTCTTTGAAATATAAAGATGTCTTGGTCTTTCATATTGTATACCTTATAGTTTCTAGTATTTACCCAATTCTCCATGTCATTTTAGTATTTTCCAGTTTCTATTGTATTTATTACCAGTTGTAGAAGAGTAGTAAGTTGGAGGAAATTCAAAGGTGAAAAAGATCTACTTAGCTGAGTAAATTTATAGATTTATACTTACATAAGGAATTCTTCTTTTGGAATCTTTATATATAAAATTATTCAAGTACTCTGTATTTTGAGAACTTGATAAATTCTGTAGATGAGATTGTAAGTGGCACAATTTGTGATTTAATGTTTGTATGAAGTATAGAATAAAATAAGAGCTAAAGAAAATATGTTTCTATATGAAGAATCCTACAGAAAGTAGCTCAGTAGATTCGACAAGAATTTGCAAAAACAGGAGTTCTCAATGTTACTCAGATTTACTTTGAAGAAATTTAAAGGTTTTGTAAGAATATATTCTGGTTTATGCCAGAAAGATTAGAATTAGGTTTAGGATTTAAAATTAGCTATGAATTTTCCTAGAAGTCTAAATTTTTTGTTTTTTTTGTCCTTGGAATTTGCTTTACATTTTGTGTATGAACATACAACATTAGAATGTTGGTTTATGCTGATTCGGCTCAGGTTTTGTTCCAGAGCTAATTGATCATCTGGCTTAATTTTAGTGAGATATCACTGCCAGTTTACAGTATTTTTCTTACGGGATTTTTGCCTACTATTATCAGAAATTCAAGGCCATGGCCAAAATGGGAAAGGAATGCTGCTCTTTATCAGATCCTCGTTTCCCTATCACTGTGCTTTGAAAGCATGAAGAATAATTGAAAAGGGAATATTTTCTCCTTTTCTGATTAATCAACTTTTAAAAAGAAGATATAATTCTAAAGTTATCAAGTTTTAGATCCAGAAAATGATCTTTATGGCTAGAGTGGTAGGCCAATAGGTCGAGCACTTGCCTTGCACGTGACCAGCCCAGGTTTGACCCCTGGCATGACGAATGGTTTCCTGAGCACCACCAGATATGCCTCTTTTTCCCCCCTCAAAAAAAAAGACCATAATTTACATTTTTGAGTAATCAGTTCTATTTTCAAGTGAGTTAATGTTTTCCTTAGATATGTGGGAAGGACGTAATTTTTTAATTTCCCAATTTTATTTATATTTTATATGTAAAATATATTAAAATCTATAGATGACACTAGAAATTTGCTTTAATAGAGCCACATGTATAGAGACATTTCCAAAATAAAAGGTGGCATGGTGAAATAATTGGTAAATTTATGGTCCTAAAACTTGCTAAAATAAATAAAAATTGGAATTTTTCTAATATATTTTATAATTTTAGACTTTGGGGCCACAAGGTTATCTCCTTAGTAATTTGTGGGTTATTAAGTAGTTTTAGTAAAGCTAATCAGACTTGCTTGGAAGAAATAATGTACTCTTTGATGGTGGAAATAAAGGGAAATAACTATTTCAAAGAGTATTAGTTGCTTTCACAAAAAGTTTTTCTAGTGTATGAAGTCTCAGGGTTCTCTGGAGAACTCGGCAGGCTACCGAAAATATCCCGCCTGCATGGCAGAGTGGCAAATTCCCCGTGGCGTATTCAATATGCCCAAAACCAGTAACAATGATGGGTCTCATTCCCCTGACCCTGAAAGAGCCTCAAATGTGGCACTTTCTAAAATCTCAGCGCTACGATGAAGGAGACGTTACTGGTGCCTGCTCGAGGAGATCGATGAACAACAGGAAGACAGTGATACAGTGATGAAGTCTCAGGATGACTTCAAAGCATTTACATTTTTTCAGACTTTATTTTGACTTGAAGATCAATGTTTTAACATGGTTTCATCTAAAATCTCAGATTTAGACAAACCATTTTTATCTTGGAAATAAATACCACATGAATCTTGTTTTTCTTACTTGGCCTGTGAACAAAAAAATTTTTAACCTAAGGCATGGATTTTTGTTTTGCCCACACCAAATAAATCATTGGGGAGTAATTATGACATCCAATAAGAATGGCAGGCTAGTTAGGGTAAACACTGTTTAACTTGTAGAAATCAGGTTTCTTTAATTCATGGCAATAGTTTAGCACACATTAGAAGAGCACACAGAAGAAAGTCCTGCTATTGAAGAATGAGAGGTATTTGGAATGACTATTTCAAGACACCTAAGTACTGAAACTCAGGCTTTAATTTTTGCATTCCTGATACTAAAACATGACAGGTGGAGAATTCTATCAGTGTCACCCAGTATACCTAACATTTCCACTAGATCACAAAGTTTTCAGTGGAGTTTGTTGACACTTGGTTGAGTTACTGTTCTTAAGTCAGCATAGCCTTTTAAACCAGAGAATATACACCCAAGTTCTACACCATGCATGAATTGCAAACCTGTAGAATAAAAAAGAATGTTAGTCATGATTAAACTACATTTTCTAGCAGTAAGTTGAGAAGTATAAAAAACTCGAATTGCTTATACGCATCTAATATGAAATTGTAGTCACCAATAATTCCAGAATAAAGATAAAAGAGCTTTGAGTCATAATCCTAAGTCCCTAGACATTTTCATTTGTTAGTTACTAAGATGCATTAAAAAAGAAAATTAGGAAATTAAAAATTTTAGCTTGAAAATTTATATCTTCAAGTTATTGGTATCTATTTAGGAAAACAACTCCACACTGAAAAGTATAGACTTTTTCAGCTAAGTCAGTGTGACACCATGAACCAGGTATTTTGAGCTCAAGGAATAGTGTATCATTAGTAACCAAGTTACTCCTTTTATGTTTTCAAGTTGTATTTTTCTTGCTAAATTTGGTTTAAAGTGATCCATTACATGAATGATTTTCCAGTTTTATGTGTGATAACCTGTGTGTGGCAAATAACTAGTAGGGATTGTGATCAAATTATCACATCAGCAACCTTTTTAAAGAGCAGGTTTTTTTTTTTTTCTGTTCTGTGCTGTTATTTTATGTTATATACTGAGGTCAATTACCTTTTTCACTCAAAGGGTATTTTTTCCTTTAGTGTTTGAACATTCATTCATACCAAAGAGAAATATTTAAAGTGAACTTTTCATTATTAGAGGTTTTTTTCTTTTTTTTTTTCTTTCACTCAGTGTTGAACTGATAGGGTAAAGGAGGAGAGCATGCATGAAAACAACTACTGAAAATTTAGGTTTACATTTGACATTGGTGTTTCAGAAAATGCATTTAACTCATTTTTCTCTCCCAGGTTTATGGTTGGCTGTGGGAGATGTGATGACTGGTTTCATGGTGATTGTGTTGGATTAAGTCTTACTCAAGCACAACAAATGGGAGAAGAAGACAAAGAATATGTGTGTGTGAAATGTTGTGCTGAAGAAGATAAGAAGACTGAAATAGTTGATATGGATGTTTTGGAAAATCAAGCTAAACTTGAAGTTCAGAGCGAAGATAAGACAATGGAATACGAAAAGCTTGGGTTGTCAAAGCATACACCAACAAATGATAAAACCAAATATGTTGATGATCCGGTGAAACACAAGGTCAAGATTTTAAAACGGGTAAGCTCATTAATACATTCTTTTGTTATAACTTTTGAGCCAGACAGAATTTGGAACATTCAGAATTACTGTGTTTTTTTTTTTTTTTTTAAGAAAGTGAATCATTAAAATACTTTGGTGGTGGGCCAGAGAGAATAGTACAGTGGGGTGCTTGCCTAATTTCAATCCTTGGCACCACATATGATCCCAGGAATGATCCCTGAGTGGCCCCTAAACAAAAATAAAACATTTTGGTCATTTTGTTGAAACTGGGTAATAATAACTTAAGAATATGTAGATTCTTACATTTATAAACAGTCACATAAACAATTCTTTGTTTCTGTGGTCTAGTTTATTAAATTTATCTTTCATTAAGGTAACATTGTTTTATAAGAGTAAGCGTAAGGAGTAAGTGTATGATTGAGGGGTACAGTACTCCCACATCACACCTACCATCCAAGTGCCAGGATCCCTCCTCCCCCACCATTTAATCTTTCAGTGTACTCATTGATTATAGTCGAAGGGTTTCTTTCCACTGGAATCGTCTCTTCCCTTGTTTTGTTTCTTCACAGTGATATCATATAAAAAGAGTGAGGTCATGGGTACTTTTCTTTCTCCTCTGACATCAACATTGTATGTTCCAGCCTTCCTTGCTGCCCTGTTCTATCCATATTGTGGCAGAAAGCAAGATTGTGTTTTTTCTTAAAGCTGAGAGGCATTCCTCTGTGTGTGTGTGTGTGTGTGTGCGCGCGCGCACACGCGCGCGCGCGTGTGTGTGCGTGTGCATGAACATATCCACCACATGATTTTTTATTTTCTGTTTTAGGGGTATACCCAGTGGTACTCAGAGCTTACTCTAGCTTTGTGTTCAGGGATTACTCCAGAGAGTGCTCAGGCAACAATATGTGATGCTGTTGACTAAATTGGAGTCAGCTGCATGCAAGGCAAAAAGTGCCTTTTTACTATTTCTCTGGCTCTACACCACATCATTTCTTTTCACCCATTTTTTTTTTGTTTTTGTTGGACGTGAGATTTTTCTAGATTTTGGTTAAATCAAGTGGCACTGCAGCCAATATAGATATGAACGTGTCTTTTCCATTGAGTAGCTTTTTTGCAGCCTTAAGGATAGCTAGTTAGGAGTGGAGTTGGAAGGATGATATGGTGGTTATAGTGTGAATTTATTGAGAAAGCACCATACTGTTTTCTCATAAAGGCTAAGCCAACGGTTGAGTGAGAATTTCCTTTTTGTCACTTCTCTGCCAGCATCTTTTTCTGTTTTAATGATGCCATTCTCACTGGGGGTAAGGAAATATTTCATTGTAATGTTGATTTGCATTTTCCTTATAGTGATGATGAACATTTTTCAGTGTGGCCAGTCACTGTGCGTATGTCTTTGATGAAGATGTGTTCTGTTCAGCTTTTTTCCTCTTTGGGTGGAAATGTTTGCTTTTGGTTGCTCTGCTTGGTGAGTGAGTTCCCTGTGTCTGTGTAGTCTTAACTAGTGTGTGGATGTTTTCTCTTGGTCACTTGGATGTCTTTTTCTTTTGATGATTATGTCTTTGCCACTGCTGAAGCTTTTTAGTTTGATATAGTACAATTTGTTTAGTTTTGCATTTGTTTTCCTTGCCAAGGGAGTTGAATCACCAGTGACACCACTGCAACAAACCACTATCAGGAAGTGTTTTTAATTTTTTCTTTGATATTTTTGTTGTTGTTCTTTGGGCGCCATACTAGGGGATGTTCAGGGGCTACCGACAGCTCAGAGTTCTTTAAGTTCTCAGAGGAGAGCAGGAGCCAGGGATTGAGCCTGGGACTCCTGCATGCAAATTATGCATTCCAGCTCTTTCTGCCGTTTCCCTAGCTATCTCCCTAGCACTCTTTCATGTATTTTATGAATTGGGGTCTTAATATTTGAGTCTTGAATCCACTTTGAGTTAACTTTCATTTTTGGTGTCAGTGGTTCAATTAGTGGTCCAATTTCAGTACTTTGTAGCTATCCAGTCTTCACAGCACCATTTATTGAAGTTTTCTTTCTCCATTTTATGCTTCTTGCTAGCTTGTCGTAAACTGTCTCTATGTCTGAGAACCATTCTCTTCCACTGCTTTGAGTGTTCGCTTTTATTCAGATCTTATTTCTTACGTAATTTTATTTATGGTCTCTAGTTTAGTACTTGGGTTTTACTTGTAGAAAGAGTGTATATGTGTCTGTTGAGTATGTGTCTTGTGAAATTAAGGGTAAATTGTACTTGCTGCTGCTGGTTGTGTGTGTGTGTGTGTGTGTGTGTGTGTGTGTGTGTGTGTTGGGGAGGTGCCTTTCAAGCAGTGCCTAGAGGCTGATGGCAGTGCCCAGAGATTCTTGGTCTATTAGACTAGAAATTTTGTGCAGAAACCAAGGATGTGGTGCTGCTAGGACCCCGAACCACCCCAGCAATTCTTCTGGAGCTTCCAGAGCCATACTCTATAGTGCTCAGGGGATCATGTTCTGCCAAGGTTCAACTAAGATTTAGTCTCTGGCAAGGCATTAGTCCTATCCCTTGTGTGATCTCCCAGGCCCATGATATGCTGGGTTATTCTCCCTCCCTCTTACCCCCTCCTCTTCCTCTCCCACATCCAGTATTGCTCAGGGCTTACTTCTGGCACTGTACTCAAAGAGCACTTCGAGGAGACCATAAAGGGTGCCAAGGATTGAACCTGGGTCAGCCACATACCAGGCAAGTGCCTTGCCTGTTATACTATATCTCCAGCCTCCAAGGTACTTTTTTTTTCTTTTTGGGTTACACGTGGCAATGCACAGGGGTTACTGCTGGCTCTGCACTCATGTATTACTCCTGGTGGTGCTCAGGGGACCATATGAGATGCTGGGAATAGAACCCGGGTTGGCCGCATGTAAGGCAAATGCCCTACTGGCTGTAGTATCACTCCAGCTTCCATGGTACTTGTTTTATTTTATTTTTTTACTTTTTTGGGTCACACCTGGTGATGCACAGGGGTTACTCTGGGCTCTGCACTCAGGATTATCCCTGGCGGTGCTCAGGGGACCATATGGGATGTTGGGAATCAGACCCGTGTCGGCCGCATGCAAGGCAAACACCCTGCCCGCTGTGCTATTGCTCCAGCCCCCAATGGTACTTGTTTTAAAAGAATGTTTTCAGTCCATAAATATCTGCTAAACTTTAAACTATAACTGGCATTATTATTTTCAAGTGGAACAACTATATTTACTATGTAAGGTAAAGTAATTGCAATTCTTTGACCTTTGCTGCAGTGTTTGCTTGGAATCTTCACCTTAGGTTTTCTCTTAAAACATGGACTCCTGGGCTTGAGTGATAGCAAATCAGGTAGGGCATTTGCCTAGCAAGTGGCCGACCCAGGTTTGATTCCCAGCATCCCATATGGTCCCCCAAGTACCACCAGGAATAATTTCTGAGTGCAGAGCCAGGAGTAGCACCTGTGCATAGCTGGGCGTGACCCAAAAAGAAGAAAAAAAAAGATGAACTCCTTAGAGATTATAATTTTCTTGCATGTTACATTTTCAAAGAGTTTTTCTTCAAAGGGAGGGGACTTGTGCCTGGCTTGGTGCTTGGAGAGCCTTCTTGGCTGTGTGCTTCTAAGTGATCTCTGGAACCAGGTGTAGTGCCAGGGATTAGAATCTGGGTCTCAGCTGGAGCTTGTGGAAGGCATGTCCTTACCGCCTCTACTCTCTCCAGCCACTACCATGCAACATTTTTGTTTGTTTTTGCTTTTTCGGTCACACCTGGTGATGCTCAGGGGTCTGGATGTAGGAATTACTCCTGGTGGTAGTTGGGGGATTGTATGGGATCTGGGCTCGCACCTGGGTTGGCCAGGTACAAGGCAGACACACTCCTGCTGACTATCACTCCGGTCCCCACCATGCAACATTTTTAACTGTTGTCTGAAAGTACTTTGTGAGTAGAAAGTTGAATATATTTAGTCATTTACAAGAGAAATACAGAAAACTAAGTTTTGTTGTCAGTGCCTACCATTTAGTACTTTTTTCTAATCATTGGTTTAGAAATGGAACTAGGACATTAGGAAGAATATTACTTTCAATCAGAGTGACCTTATATTCTTTTTTCATATTATGGTTTAAAACTAAGCAGAACATGAATTATGGTTACACATGTACCACTTACGCCTTTCTTCAGGTTTTTGTTTGTTTGTTTGTTTGCTTTTTGGGTCACACCCTGCAATGCACAGGGGTTAATCCTGGCTCTGCACTCAGGAATTACTCCTGGCGGTACTCAGGGGACCCTATGGGATGCTGGAAATCGAACCCGGGTTGGCCGTGTGTAAGGCAAACGCCCTACCCGCTGTGCTATCACTCCAGGCCCTTTTTCTTCATTTTTTTCTTGCAACACTGAGGTTTTGCTTCAACCGCTGGAATAACTATCTGAGAATTAAAGAATGTATAACACACACATACACACACATAGTGGAAACATAGTGGCAACAACCATGCAGATAGTCAGAGATAATCATAAAGCAAAGTACATGAGTTGGAATATTGAGAAAATTTTAGGCCACCATTCAGATTGAAGAACATAGTATATTTTTATCAAAATCCACATTATTTACAAAGTCATTTCTTCTAGAGACTATATTTTTATTTTGGGGGGGATTTGAGCCACGCCAGTCGTGATCAGGTTGTTGCTGGCTCTGTGCTCAAGGAGGGAATCACATGCATTGCAAAGGCCTAAACATCTGTATTATCTTTCTGTCCCTAGACTCACTTTAGAAACTCTACCTTTACTACTCCTAGCTTTGCATTCAGAGATCATTCCTGAAACTGCTAAGGGGAGCACCGTATCGGAGTCCTTGGTCCGCAGGGTGCCTGGAATCAAACCCTGGTTAGTTGTGTGCAGTGCAAGGCAAGTGCCCTCCCTACTGCATTATCTCTCTGGCCAGGAAATTTGTTTTTAAAAACACTATTTTATGTGAAATCATTTATTGAATTCCTTTCATGTGTCAAGTATGGTACCAGAATTGGGTACATAGTACTGATTGAAATATGCTCTTAATTAATATCTAGTTGGATAATAGGAAAAAAAATAAAAAGTATTCTTTATAATAATAGTCTAGAATAAGATTTTTTCCCCTAATGTGTGCAGTCTTTTGAAAATATATTAACAGTTTATTTCCTTCTCTTTGTCTCTAAAACACGAATAGATGTGATTAATTGCTCTTTTATTATTTTTAATTTTTTTAATTTATTTTTTAATTAGTGAAACACCATGAGGTATAGTTGTAGACTTAAAAACTTCCGTGCTTGGGTTTCAGTCATACAATGATCGAGTACCCATCCCTCCACCAGTGCCCATTCACCACCAATGATCCCAGTAACCCTCCCATCCCCACACCCCATCCCCTCCACCCCACCCTGCCTGTGTGGCAGGGCGTTCCCTTTTGCTCACTCTTTCCTTCAGGGTCTTGTAGTTTGCAATAGAGGTATTGAGTGGCTATCATGTTCAGTCTATAGTCTACATTCAGCACGCATCTCGAATCTCCAGCGATTCCTCCAAACATCCTTTACTTGTGTTCCCTTCTCTATCTGAGCTGCATTTTCCTCCAGCATGTGAGGCCAGCTTCCAAGCAATGGAGCAGACCTCCAGGTACTTATCTCAACTATTCTTGGGTGTTCGACTCTCATTCTGTTACTTTATATTTCCCAGATGAATGCAGTCTTTCTATGTCTGTCCCTCTCTTTCTGGCTCATTTCATTTAGCATGATACTTTCCATGTAGAACCACTTGTATGTAAATTTCATGACTTTATGTTTTCTAACAGCTGTATAGTATTCCATTGTGTAGATGTACCAAAGTTTCTTTAACCAGTCATCTGTTCTCGGGCATTCAGGTTTTTTTTCCGAATTTTGGCGATTATGAACAGTGCAGCAATGAACATACAAATGCAGATGTTATTTCAGCTGTACTTTTTTTGCCTCTCCGGGATATATTCCCAGGAGTGGTATTGCTGGGTCAAATGGGAGCTCAATTTCTAATTTTCTGCCTTTGTTCTAGTACCATGCTGTTTTAATTATTACTGCTTTGTAGTAAAGTTTGAAGTTAGGGAGGTTGATTCCTCCCATTTTCTTTTTCCCAAGAATTGCTTTAGAATTCGTGGGGGCTTATTGTTCCATAGGAATTTTAGGAGTGTTTGCTCCATTTCTTTGAAGAATGTCAAGGGTATCATTATAGGGATCGCATTGAATGCTTTGGGGGGGAGTATTGCCATTTTGACAATGTTAATTCTCCCGATCCATGAGCAGAAGATATCTTTCCATTTTCTCATGTCCACTTTTATTTCCTGAAATAGCGTTTTGTAGTTTTCTTTGTACCAGTCTTTTTCTTCCTTAGTTAAGCTGATTCCAAGATACTTGATTTTCTGGGGCACAATTGTGAAGAGGATTGTTTTTTCCGTGTCACTTTCTTCTCTCTCACTGTTTGTGTATAGGAAAACCAATGTTTCCTTGCTGAGTGTTGTTCTTGTAGATCTATCCAGAGGTGATAAGGTGATGTTGTAGTCTCTGGCTACTATTGTGTTGCTTGCAATGTCTTCCTTAAAATCTGTTAGCAGTTGATTTAAATATTTAGCTGTTCCCTCATTAGGTGCATATATATTTAATAGTGTGATTTCTTCCTGTTGTACGTATCCCTTGGTAAGTAGAAAATGGCTTTTGCTGTCCCTTCTAACCTTTTTTCAAGCTGAAATTTATGTTGTTGGATATTAGTATGGCCACCCCAGCTTTTTTGAGGGAGCTGTTTGCTTGCAGGATTGTTTTTCATCCTTTAACTTTCAGTCTGTGTTTGCTCTGACTGTTGAGATGAGTTTGTTGTAGGCAGCAGAATATTGGGTTCTTTCTCTGAATCCATTTTGCCACTCCATGTCTATTAATTGGTGAATTTAGACCATTGAGATTGAGAGAGATTATTGTTACGGGGGGGTTTTGTGTCATCTTTCTGTAAGGTTTGTTGTGCTTGTAGGGTTTGTCTTGCCTTATAGTAGCCCCTTTAACCCTTCTTTTAGGTTTGGTTTTGAGTCTATGAAGTTCCTGAGCTGCTGTTTTTCCACAAAATAGTGTACCGTTCCTTCGAGTTTGAGAGTTTAGCTGGATAGAGTATTCTTGATGAAGCATTCATTTCAGTGAGTTTTTTTCACTATATCCCACCATTTTTGGGCTTGGAGGGTTTCCTCTGATAGGTCTGCTGTGAATCTAAGGGGTGCTCCTTTGTATGTGATTTCCTTCTTTGACCTTGATGCTTGCAGTATTGTGTCTCTATCTGTGGCATCAATCATTCTAAATATGATATGTCTTGGAGTGTTTTTGTTAGGGTCTCTTTTAGCTGGCACCCTTCAGGCTTCTTGAACCTGAATGGCTGCATTGTCCAGCTCTGGGAACTTTTCCGCAATGCTTCGTTTAACAGTGTTTTTTTCAATGGGATTGTTTCCCTGACCTTCTAGTACTCCAATGATTGTAATGTTGTTCCTCTTGGAATCATCTCCTAGGACTCTCATTTGCTTTAGAGCTATTTTGAGGTCTCTTGCCATTGTTTGTTGTTGTCTGTTGGCTTGGTTCAGCTGATCTTCCAGCTCACTGATACTGTCTTCAGCTGTGGCCATTCTACTGTTGAGGGCACAGACTGAGTTTTTTATTTCATCTACGGAATCTTTAATTTGTGACATTTCTGTGCGTAGCTTCCCAATTTCTGCTCTCATTTCTTCCTGTATTTTCTCGATTGTTTCTCTCATGTCCTCCTTTAATTTACTGGATATCTGTGTTACTGTTTCATTGAGTTCATTGAACATCTTCATTACTTCATATCTCAATTCTTTCTCAGAGAGGTCCCTTAGGTGAGTAGCACCTATTGAGGCTTCTGGACTCTTTTCATTGTCCTCCCCTTGTGGTGGGGATTTGTGTTGTTTCTTCATGTTGGTGTGGAGGTATGGAGACTGAGATGTTACATGAGATTGCTGGGTATGAGTAAACTACCACCCCAAATTAGGCCACACCCACTTCTACAGAGGCCACGCCCACTTCTGAAGAGGTCTCACAACCTAGGGGTACCTGGTGTGTGTGTGTGAGGTACAAGCTGGGGGAGGAAGAAGACCGGGCACAGCGTTGGGAATGAACAGGAAGAGGCTCAGGGATGGTGAGTGTCCCAGGGTCCTAGAGGATGCCTGGGGCGCATATGCGGGGAAAACCAAGTCCAGGGTTCGAATGACTGACCCGGGGGAGGAAGAAGCAATTAATTACTCTTAAGGATCTCAGAATTATGGTTTTATTTATGGTTCTTTGTACATTATAGTTAGGACAAGATATATCTACACATTTGTACATATATAATATTCAGATACTATGATTTATTTTGCTTTTGAGATTAAAATTGCCAAAGGGTAGATAGTTATTGATTTATAATTTCTTTTTCATATTCACAACCAAATAAAAGAACTCATCTAATTTTCTGATACTACTGTTGGGAACATGATCTGTTTCTTTTGTTTTTTTTTTCCTTGTATAGGCTATGAAAAGGGTGAATATCCTTTGTGCTAACATTTGAAAATTCCTTACAGCTTCAGAAAAAGTCCTCCTGTTTTTTTGCACTAAATAATGGAATATGCTTGGTAGATTAATAGGTTGCAGTGTGAGTTTAATGTTTTCATTTCTTTTATTCACTTTTTTTTTTTTTTTTTGCCACATTCAGTGGTACCCAAGGATTACTCCTGACTCTGCATTCAGGTATCACTTCTGGTAGGTTCAGAGAACCATGTGGCATGTGGGGGGATTGAATCCAGCCAGCCCTTGGAAGGCAAGCGCTGTACTGTCTTACCTGCTGTACAAGGCTTGCTTTGTATTTTAAGTTCTGATGAATTTTAAACTATTTTCCAGGAATCTGGGGAAGGTAAAAACTCATCAGATGCTAGAGATAGTGAAATTAAAAAATGGCAACTAGCTCCTCTTCGAAAAACGGGACAACCAGTTTTACCTCGGAGATCCTCAGAAGAGAAAAGTGAGAAAACATCAAAAGAATCTGTAACTCTTTGCACAGGAGAAAAAGCTTCAAAAACAGGTAGTAAGATTAATGGAAATAAATAATATACTAATGTATTTCTGTTTTATTTCTCAGATTATTAGGAGAATCTTTAACATTTAAATATGTCAATCAAAATGGCTCAGGTTATTGACTTACTTGCAGATTAAAAACCTTTAAATTTGGGGGAAGTAATAATGGACTTAATAAGATAATGTCCTTGTCCTCCTGGCGCTTGAAAGCATGAGAATTAACATGGCAGAGGCCTTAAGTTCAGTCCCTAACACTGCATCCTCCTCACCCTCGCCTGCCCTCAGACAGCTGACACAGTTTGATGGCCCTTGAGCACTGCATTATAGGGCTGAATATTGCCTTGAGTGGCCCCTGGTCCAGCTGTGGGCCGGAGAGATAGTTAAGCAGGTATGACACTTGCTTTGCACATAGCTGACCCTGGTTCAGTCCCTAGCACTCTTATGATCCCCCAGCACCACCAGGACTGAGTCCTGGGTGCAGAACCAGGAGTAAGCCCGAGCATTCCTGGGTGCAGCACCAAAAGCAACTAAATTAAAAGCAGACTGTTAGAAGACAGACAATAAGGAGATTAATTTTAAAAATGATACATGGCTTCACAGAATTTAGTTCATATGGAGAAAAAGTGGAATAATAGGAGAGCGAGTTATAGTTGAGGAGGGTGTTAGGAATTTGTTTTAGAATGCATATCTTTTTAGGGAAGTCCTGTTAAAGGTAATATGACATAATACGGAAGGTGGAGTTGGAAAGGAGTTGAAATTTTTTGGAGAAGGGGATGACATGGCAGAGCCAGGGCTGAGGTAGAATTCTCATCTATGAGAATTCCAGCCAGGCAGGGAGCCCACTTGACATGGATTGGTCTTTTTAGGATGGGTCATATTTCATCTCTGTAACACTAGGAAGGACTAGTGGTGAAAGCATGGGCTTAGGCAAGTACCTGAGTAAGTTGGGGATGATGTGATCAATTTAATTTTTTTGTGTTTTCTTAATGAGTTAAGTGAAAAGCAAATGAAATTGAAGTTGGGAAAAGAGGTATTGTTGATTTGAGAAGAGAGGAAGAAGAAAAGCAAAACAGTTGTGAGAAATCGGGAGTAGCCAGTTGAATTATATCCTTGAGATATGTAAGCTCCACTGATAGCAGTGCTTATTTCTGTGCAGTTTCTTCAGATCTTTGAAGCAGGTTATTGGAAGCATAAAAGCTGGCTTTGACTAGCTTCATGGTTTTGCCAACGTAGATTTTTCAGAGGAGAAAGAATGTCAGGAAGTGGTGGTAGTATTGGACTGCCTAATTGAAGTTGGTGAAGTGCAAAGAAAAACATGAATGATAAAAATGACAAAAGCTATTGTTGAATTGCGGTTTTAGAGCACGCTGATGTGATGGCAGGTTAGAGTAGAGGAGGTTTCATATTGAGATTTTAGGGGTGTGCTACATGAATTAGTAATCATCGAATAAAAATTCATCTGGAAAGCTTAGCTTTCAAAATACCAATGTCAGATACCATTAAAATCAGAAGAGATTCATCAATTTGTGGCATTGTAACTTAATTAAATTATCTGCTCACCTAATATGTTCAGATCATTTTCTAAAATTTTTAAATTATTACCCACATATGAAGTGTGTGTATACATATATAAATATATATATATATATATATATAAGTGCTTTTCAGATCCACTTATAAGCTTGTATTATGCTGAGAAAGAAAAAAATCTTTATGAAAACATTTTAACAACTTTTCACATTAATTAGGTGCTCATGAGAAACAAGAGATAAAAAAGAAGAAAGTTGAAAAGGGAGTGCCGAATACGCATCCTCCTCCCGCTTCTTCCAAGCCTTCTGCAGATCAGATCAGACAGAGTGTCAGACATTCTCTCAAAGAAATACTTATGAAAAGGTAATGCACATTATTGTAGAAGACTGAATAATAACATCATTTCTTTGTATTGGAAGAGTAATTAATTATTCTCATTTTAAGACTCACGGACTCCAATTTGAAGATGCCAGAAGAGAAGGCAACGAAAGTTGCCACAAAAATTGAAAAAGAGCTCTTCTCTTTTTTTCGTGATACGGACGCTAAATATAAGAACAAATATAGAAGTTTGATGTTTAATCTGAAAGATCCTAAAAACAGTGTAAGTATGTTTATTTATGTCTGTAGATAATTTATGCTTCCAATTCCCTGGAATACCTGGGGATTTGAGATTGGAATGGAGTATGATTTTTTTTGTATGGTTGTAAAATTTTTAATACTCTCTTTTTACTACTGAACTGAGTTACAAATTCTGCATAGTTTTAATAGGTGAAAATATAAAAGAGTCTCTTAAAATATAAAATATTATATATACATTTTTTTTTGTTTTGCTTTTTGGGTCATACCTGGTGATGCTCAGGGGTTACTACTGACTCTGCACTCAGGAATTACTCCTGGCGGTGCTCAGAGGACCATATGGGATGCCGGGGATTGAACCTAGATCAGCCACGGGCAAGGCAAATGCTCTACCCGCTGTACTCTCGCTCTGGCCCGTGTTTTAATCTGATTTAATTAATCTTCTTTTTAATACTTTTACTTTTGCCATACCCTGTGGTGTACAGGGCTTACTCCTGGCTTAGCTCTGCACCTTGAGATCACTCCTGGCAGGGTACGGGGGACCATTTGGGGTATGTGGCATCAAACCCAAATAGGCTGTGTGCAAGGCAAGCGGCCTACTTGCTGAACTATCTCTCCAGCACCCATGTGAATTTTCTCATGTCTTTGTATAATCCAGTTTAATTATAAAAAATCATACATATATATTCTTCAAAAACTGTTATTAAACCAAAATTTATAGCACTAAGCTACCAGTATAGATTCAAATCCTGAAAACAGATCTATGTTTCTTAATTACTTCATCTAGATAAAAAGGGAACTATTTTAGTATGTTTTTATTAAATCAATTTTAACTTTAAGTCAAAATACTTTTTTTTAGCAGTGGATTAAGCATTAGTTGGTTCCCTAAGCTTTTTCTGATATTTCTTGTTTAGAGGGTATTTAAAGAGAGTGATATTTAAATACCCCTTATAGAGGGTTTTTAAAGGCCTTGTGTATATGTAATTCATGCTCCTTGTATATGCTTACAAGTTTTCACATAACTGCTATCACTTGAATTTGTATAATATTTGCCACAAGTGATTTGAAATATTTCCTTAAGGGGGCCAGAGCAATATCACAGCAGGTAGGGCATTTGCCTTGCACACAGCTGACCTAGGTTCGATTCCCAGCATCCCATATGGTCCCCCGAGCACCGCCAGGAGTAATTCCTGAGTGCATGAACCAGGAGGAACTCCTGTGTATTGCCGGGTGTGACCCAAAAAACAACAACAACAAAAAGATACTATCAGCTTGTACAAGGTCTAGAGGGTTTCACACTTTTTGCTTTGGTTTGCTTTGGTTTTATGCCATACCCAGTAATTCTCAGGGCTTACTCCTTGCTCTACATTCAGGAATTATTTCTGTTGGTGCTTGGGGGACCATATGATAAACCAGGGATCAAACCCCAGCTGAAGTTTCTTTTCACTCTTTGAAGTATTAGTTCAGACGTTTCTTAACATAAAATCGAAAACCCTTTCTTCAGTCATGGTCATGGTCACGGTCCTCCCATTATTCATCACTTTGCTCGAGTGGGCCCAATAACGTCTCTATCGTGAGACTTGTTGTTAACTGTGTTTGGCATATTGAATATGTCATGGGTAGCTTGCCAGGCTTTGCCATGCAGGCGAGATACTCTTGGTAGCTTGCGGATGAATTGGACCCGGCTCAGCCAGGCCGGCTGCGCGCAAGGCAAACACCCTAGCGCTATGCTATCGCTCCAGCAGTAAACAGCTATTTCTTTTCTGGGTGGTGGTTTTTCAATCAATTGCTTATAGAGGTTGATAGGAACTGCTACCACCAGTGATTCTTGGTGAAGATGGCTGGAGCCTTTAACCAAGGGCCGAGGATGTAATGCTGTTTGGGTCTTGCAGTGGTTCAGATACAACACTGTCATTCCCCCCTCGCCCCCACCACCCCAACACACACACACACACACACACACACACACACACACACACACACACACAGGGCGGTGTTGGAAATCTCCTAAAGCAGTACCCTTTGTTGCCCGGAGATGGTGTTGGCTCCACCCCCAGCCTCCACACTAAGGCTACACCCAACAATGCCAGGGTTCTATGTGGTGCTGGGAATCAAAATTCTGTACTACTTCTTGGGCCTCAGTGAAGACTAGTTTGCTTGAGCCAGAAGAATAGTTCAAGAGGCTGGAGGCTATTGTGAAAGGTGCTGCAGTGAACATAGGCATGCAGCACTATTCACAATAGCCAGAGTCTGGAAACAACCCGAATGCCTGAGAAAGGATGAAGAAACTCCAGTCATCTACACAGTGAAACACTATGCAGTTGTTAGGAAAGAATGAAGTCATGAACTTCACTTATAAATGGATGGACCTGGAGGGTATCATGCTGAGTGAAATGAATCAGAAGGAGAGGAACAGATGTAGAATGATTGAACTCGTTTTAGGGACATAAAAAAACATAGTATGAGGCTAATACCCAAGTACAGTAGAAACACGGGCCAGGAAACCTGTCTCAGGCTTCTGGGGAAGAAGGCAGTTTGGATAGAGAAGGGACCAGTATGGCAATGGTAGTTGGAAATGATCACTCTGGATAAGAACTGAATGCTGAAAGTAGACAGTAGGTAAAGGAACAAACACGATTACCTCTCAGTATCTGTTTGGCAAACCATAAGGTCCAAAAAAGGTCGGGGGGGTTGGGGGGACAGGGAGAGGAAGCGAGAGGGAGACTCTTGGTGGGAAGCAAATTGGGCTCATTGGTGGTGGGAAATGTACACTGGTGGAGAGGGATGGGTGTGGGAATATTGCATGGCTGAAACCTGAGCATGAACAGATTTGTACCTGTATCTTATGGTGACTCAAAAAATAAAAATAATTAAAAAAATAAATAAAACATAGAAAGATGGACGAGGCGGGGAAAAGAAAATGCTGGAGGGCTTTCTTTGTATTCGATCCCTAATTTTGGTCCTTTGTACCCTGTGTGTTGCCAGGAGTATTAGCATGTACTGCTGATTATAGTCCCCCAAAACAAAGACCTTTAGACTTTTTTTTTTTTTTTTGCAGTACATTCTTTGCTCTGAAGTCTCTTTCACGCCTGTTAGAATTTAAATGTGACCTCTTAAAACGATGAGCAATATTGTGTTCCGTAAAGTTTTGGTTTTTATTTGTTTTTGTTTTTTTTGGGGGGGAGGTCGGGATTTTGTGTTTGGTGTTCACACCTTACAGTGCTCACAGCAGCATATGTGAGATGTTGCAGGGATCAAACCTGGGCCAAAGACTTACAAGGCAAGAGCCTTTCCTACTCTACTGTGTCTCTTGTCCCAGTGAAGTTTTTGGGTTTGGGTTCTTTTTTTTTTTTTTTAACCCTAGGCAGACTACAGTTTTGGGGTAGATATTATATTGGTTCCAATGTGCATGCTTTTCCATATGTTGATTTTTTTTTTTAAAGACTTTTAGATTTCTCTCCTCTTCCCTTTGTTGTTTCTTTGTTTAGGGATCACACACATAACCATAACTAGCTCTGATGCTTGTGCAGTTACTTGTGATACTCATTAGGTATCACATGGTGCTTGCTCATTTAGTAGTGATACTCACCCATCGGCTGTGTTGGTGCATAGAGAACATGTTTCTTTAAACCTTCTGCTTGTACTCTTGGCCGTAGGTTAACCCAGTGCCCATCCTTTCGCTCATTGGGTATTTCACTCATTATCCGGGTTGCACTCCCTGTCCATGTGATGTGGCTCAGACGGCTTTTAGTTGAGGTGCTTGCCAGGGGTTGAACCTTTTTTGTGATATTCACACACACCTGGCTTCTGTGTAGTCAGAAATGGCTTGTATTGCCTGGATCACAGGCAGCAGAGCTTGGACCTGGGGCTTGGGTAGCCCTGGGGATCTAACTTAGGGCTGTGTGTTCAAGGCAGACACGCTTATTGAGCTCCTACCTGGATTCCCGTGTGCTGAGTTTTCTATGAAATACATATTTTACTAATATATTTTATTAGTAAATATATTTTACTACCTCACGTGATAGAGTACAATACAAAAGCTGTTCTTTTCGTTCTCTCTAGTAGTGTGTAAATCACAAAAAAATTGTAAATCAGGTTTCAAAATTGCATCATTAATATGTTCTAGTCACTGCTCTTTTACAACACTTTTTTTCTTTTTTCCTTCCCATTTTTAAAAACTTCCAGATGTTGTTTAAAAAGGTTCTGAAAGGAGAAGTAACCCCTGATCATCTTATAAAAATGAGTCCTGAAGAACTAGCTTCTAAAGAATTAGCTGCTTGGAGACGAAGAGAAAATAGACATGTAAGATTACTTATGAGTGTGCATTTGACTATATCCACACCTGTGTTTTTCACACCAGGGGAGAAGCGTACATTTCATTCACTGATTGCACAGTACAGACTTTCTGTTGCAAGCCTCTTCTAGTTAGTTCGCCTCCACTAACCTAGTTTTCAAATTCAGTTTAACCTGAATTTTTCTGCTTTTTCATTATTTTCTGCAGTTACAAGTTACAGGATTACCTGTATTTTGTTATTATATTTCATATGCCAGAAGAATGGGAAAATAGATGCACCTTAATCATATCTAAGCTTTTCAGAAGCTCGGCTTGACAATATATGGGTAATCTGTAGAGCCAATTTAAGTAGTAATGAACTTATTACAGGCTTATAACTCCTTAATATTCAAAGTTTGAAATACATAGCTCTGAAAAGTAAATTTACCTCCGATAATTTTCTAATAAAATCTCACCTGAATTTTTAAATCTGAATGTTCTTTTTCACAGAAATACTGGGTTGATTAATGCTGTAGAAAAGCTATATCAGAATAGAAAATTTTAATGTAAATGTCCTGTTTCATCGCTCTGCAAATTACATTGCGTTTTTGTTGCCTCTGGTTAATGTACATGGGAACTTCTCAAGGCTGAGACAATGGGGGCACTTTGGTCGTGACTGGTAGTATGATAATCAGTGCCATAAAATTTGGCACTAGTGTAACCATATTATTTAAACTACAATTTTGAAAAAGACAAAAAATGTAATGTATTGGAAGGAATATGATACTCAACTCTCTCTTACCACAAGGAGTTGTTCTTGTACTTGAAGAACACCATTAAGAGTTAAGAGTATCCACTAAGGTGGGGATGGAGGTGCAGCATGTCTAGGAGACTGGATACAACAAGAACATTGATGGAGGGTCTTGGGCACTCTGGTGGTAGTGTGATGGGGTAACTGTATATGTCAATACCGTAAATGTAAACACTTTCGTAAACACGTTATCTAATCTATAAAAATAAATTAAAAGGCTGTGTTTTGGGATCTAATTCTTATAAAAGTTCCCTACTTACAACAGCCTCTAAGTTACATAAGTACTCGTATTTGTTGAGAAATCATCTAACAATTAAAAATAATCTGTGATGTAGCTTTTGCGAGATTTTATTTAAAGCTATTTTATATTTTATACTTTAAAATTGCATGTGTTTTTAATCGTGAGCTATTTCTTTAAAACGCTTCCTGTTAGACTATAGAGATGATTGAGAAAGAGCAGAGAGAAGTGGAAAGACGACCAATCACAAAAATTACACATAAGGGTGAAATAGAAATTGAGAGTGATGCCCCCATGAAAGAACAGGAAGCAGCCATGGAAATTCAGGTAAGGATCATAAAAATGTCATATTTCGTGATGCTAAAAACAGGAAGATTGACAAGGTTTTAAGTTCTAATCCTCATAAAGTAAAAGAATTAAAAGATACATTTTTTGTTTGGGGGCCACACCTGGTGGTACTGAGTGCTTACTCCTGATCCGGCATTCAGGGATCACTCTCAGGGTACCATAAAGAGTTCTGGGATTGAATCTGGTTTGGGCATGCACAAGGCAAGCACCCAGTCTTTTACACTGTCACTCTGACCCCAGATACATCTGTTAAATATACCTGTTAAATTGTGGATTCCTTTGGTCTGTGACCAGTGAATTCCTTTGTAAGCCAAGAAATCTGTAGGTAGACTGTAGTTTGAAACTACAATTTAGACTCAGACTGTAGTTTAGACTACAGTTTAGACTACAGGTTAAACTGTAGCTTAGACTATAGTTTGAGAGCTGAAACTATTTTTCTTAATTTCTGACATCAGTGAGGAAATAATGTGAAAATCTGTAGATCCTTCTTAGACTCTAGTTTGAGAACTGGTACCATTTTTCTTCATTTCTGACAGCAGTGAGAAAATGCAAAATTTTGTTAAGAGTTCTTGAAGAATGAGCAATGCTTTGAGTTTCAAGTCTAATACCAAGTTTGTTTTAAGGAAATAGTGAAGTTTTTTCTCTGAATAAAAGTGGTTATATTTTAGAAAAATATCAATTTGAAGTATATGTTGATTTTAATAATGTCAAGTTTTATCTGCCAAAACTAATTTTCACTCTGGGGTTTTATTAGGAAGCTGCAGCTAATAAGTCGGAGAAGACAGAGGGATCTGAGAAACTAAAGGAAGAGCTTGACTCCATGTCTAAAGATACCACTAATCAACATAGACAACATCTTTTCGATCTTAACTGCAAGATTTGTATAGGTATTTGGAGATTTTTCTTCCTAAATATAGTGCTTTTGTTCAGAAAGGGAGTAATACTTCGTAGTTTGCATAGTTTTTTAATTTGTGATATCGGTAATGATGCACTTATCCATTCTTTGAGAAGTTCCTCATTTTTTTGTGTTCCCTTATTTTGGGGGCTTTAGATTTGAGTTATATTTTGTTATCAAAGTGAATTCTATTATCTAGAATTGATTGTGAGAAATATTAACTTAAAATATGAGAGCCAAATAATTAGAAATTCATCTTTTGGAATAGATATCAGAAGCTGAACAGTTTAGCTGGGGCTGTCATTGATAGAATTAAGGAGTGAAATAGCGCTCGTATTTATTTTCTGAAACATGAAGCAAGTCAGAAATTGCCCTTTCTTAAGTGCTTTATTGTTGGGGTGGACTGGTGCACCTGGTGATGCCAAGGAAGGAACCTGGGACCTTTTGCATACAAAACAAGTCTGAACCCTTTGAGCTATCACCCCTTGATCCCTTTAGGGTTTTTATCTATGTTCATTGATTGAATAAGTATTTATTCAATAAGCAATAAAAAAGTAATAAAAATTATAAAATAAAAAAGTAATAAAAATGTAAAAAAGTAATAACTGGTACTGTTAATGAAGTGGTGAAAAAATTAAGATGATATCCTTCCTACAGTAGGAAAAAATCGATGGTGATTCCCTTGTAGTAACTCTTTTCCACCCTCCATTCCATCCCCCCAGTTTTGGTGCCCTACCACGTAGTGATGGGAGGTGGTGGGGGAAAAATTATTTTAGACTCTGTGCTTAAGGATTGCTTCTAGCAAATTCGCGGAGGACCGTGTAACACCTGGTATTGAACCTGAGCCTCCATCTTGCAATGTATGCTTTGCATGTACTTAGAGCATTGCGTTATCTCTCCAGTCCACAGATGGTGATTTATGTCATAGAAGTTAGTTGTTATATACATAATTTGTAAGCAGGAAGGCTTGCCTAGATTTGGGGTGCTATGGAAGGCTTGGATAAGAATTGAATTTTGAGCAGAAGCATTTGAGTGTTGAGAAGTGTGCCTGTAAAGAGGTATGGGAAGAACATTCTAGATACTGGGAGTGGTAGAAGTTTCTCTTAAGTTCATGAAGAGGATAAAGATAATTGATTAGGGACTGGAGCAATAGCACAGCAGGTAGGGCGTTTGCCTTGCACGCGGCTGACCCGGGTTCGGTTCCCAGCATCCCATAGGCGTAATTCCTGAGCGCAGAGCCAGGAGTAACCCCTGTGCATCGCTGGGTGTGACCCAAAAAACAAAACAAACAAAAAAGATAATTGATTATTTGACACAGTTTTTAGAGATCAATAATAACCATTGATTTCAATCTTAATAGCAGTGAAAATAAATTTAGTGAGTCATGACCACCATTTCAAGTACACAAAGAGAGGGCCAGAAAAGGTAGTACAGTGAGTAAGGCACAAGCAGCCAACCCAGGTTCCATCCCAAGCACCCCATTTTGTCTCCTGGGAACTGCCAGAGAATTTGTGAGAGCCAAGAGTAAGCCCTGAGCACTACAGGGTATAACCCAAATACCCTGTCCCCTCCCCGTGACCCCCCAAATACTGAATGTACTTTATTGTAAACTCCCAATAATTATTTTGATCTTTTATCTCAAGAGGGGTGAATAGTGATTGAAGGTTTTAAAGCAGGGAATGACAGAACATTGGAAAAATTTGAAAGCAGCTGTGACTTTGTGTAGGGATTATAGTGGAAGAAGTCGTGAGGAATCCAGCTGGGAAATGAATATAATTTTAATTGCAGTATAGCATTGGAGCTGGAAACAAGTAGGAACTTGGATATACTAACGTTAGGCAGTATTGATAGATGCTAGAGATTGGATTTACGGCACAGGCAATGGGGATATGTTAAGAAGTTTGAGTTTATGTTCTGTTTCTTGATAAAGATAGTGGAGATTCAGGTAACTTTTCTATAATAAAAATGCCTGTGAAATTATGTCATGATGTTTCTTTGGTGCTAGAACCCCAAACCAGTGCCATTTTCTAAGGCTTTCCTAAGATTTCCTGTGTTTCTGAACTAAGTAGAATTGTACTCTGGATGTATTGCCATGAACCTCTCTGAAACACACACAATAGAATATGTATTCATCCTAGTTTATGAGATTATTCAGACTGTTGAAATTTGGCTCAGTTAAAAATTGTGAGGGAGTAAAGAAACCAGTTATAGGCTCTCGTTATAATATTTCCATTTTTGCCTAAGTTGCCAAACACTCTCTTTTTAAAAATTTTCACATCAGGGGCTGGTTAGTACTGTGAGTAGGGCACTTGCCAAGCTGGATTTGATCACTGACATTCCATATGATCTCCTGAACCCTACCAGGAGTTGTCCCTGAGCACAGAGCCAGGAGTAAGTCTTGAGCACCACTGGTGTGGTCCAAAAACCAAAAAATTTTTTTCCCACATCAATATGACAGGTGCATTCTAACCCACTATGAGAAATGATGATTAGTTAAAATTGACCCAGGAGGGTTCTGAGCAATAGTACAGCCTGTAGGGCTTTTGCTTGCATAGAGCTGACCTGAGTTAAATCCCTGACACCCCATATGGTTGCTGGAGCACTCCCAGGAGTGACTCCTGAGAGCAGTGTCGGGAGGAAGCCCTGAGCATTGCAGGGTGTGCCCCTCAAAACAGTACAAGCAAAACATTAACTCAGGAAACACAACACCTGGGAGCACAGCAGTTGGCAGTCAGTGAAACAGAGTAAGTAAGTAAAAGTAAAGGCCCTCCCGTTGATCATCGATTTGCTCGAGCGGGCCCAGTAACGTCTCCATTGGAGACTTTGTTGTTACTGTGTCTGGCATATCGAATACGTCGTTATTTCTGAAATACAGAAATGTCACTTTGCAAGAATAGTTTTTTTTGGTTTATTCTGACTTTAGGTCGAATGGCACCACCTGCAGATGATCTTTCTCCAAAAAAGGTGAAAGTTGTTGTTGGAGTGTCTCGGAAACATTCGGACAATGAAGCAGATAGTATCGCAGATGCATTATCTTCAACATCAAATATTTTAACTTCTGAATTATTTGAAGAGGAGAAACAGGACTCTCCAAAGTCAACGTTCTCTCCTGCTCCACGGTAATTTTTCTGTTAGTTGTAACTTCTGTTAATAAGCATTGTTGTTTGTCTGCCAAGTTATGCACAGAGGTCTTTAAAAACAGAAAGTGACACATTGATTAGGAGACTTTCTTTTGAGAAATTAACTGTACTATATTCCGAATCAATTAAGGTAAATACGTAATATGTTTGTGAGTGTGGGACTAGATTTTCAAACTCCCTTTAATTATGTGGGTCCCACGAAGCAGGTAATTAAAAATTACTTTTACTTCTCTGGATCTTAATCCAACAAAGGTATAATCAAGAAGAAAGGGGTTTGTAAAAACCAACTGTGTAAATAATGAGCATACTTTGATAGAGGGATAATTTCAGAATCTTAAATCAATAGCCTTTATGTATTTTTTTGCTTTCTTGACATGCTGAAATGGGAACGGTTGGTGACTAAGTGGAAAATGGATTTATTCACGAGTATATCTTTAGGCTAAAACCTTTTTGATGTCATTGTCTTTAGTCCAGAGATGCCGGGAACTGTTGAAGTTGAGTCTACCTTCCTGGCTCGATTGAACTTCATCTGGAAAGGTTTTATCAACATGCCTTCTGTGGCAAAATTTGTTACCAAAGCCTACCCAGTGTCTGGTTCCCCTGAGTACTTGACAGAGGTACTGTGAACTTCTTTACCCTTCTGTGCCTGGGTTGGCATCTGTGTTCCTGAAAGCACTAGGCAGGGAAGCAGCATCGTAAAGAATTATGATAATTTATAAAAACTAGTAACAGTTATTCTTAAACCATTCAGTTCATGGAATTATGATTTCACTTAATGGAATGGCCCGCTCAAGAAAACTGCACTCTGAAATTTTCATGCCGATAAGTGCCATATTGTTTAAAGTAAACCTCATTTTTGTGTCAGAAAATGAAAAATTAATGGATTATCATGGACATGGACAAGATTACGGTAGATGCATAGTTGAAAGGGGAGGTTGCTGGCCTTGCACACAGCTGACTCAGGCTTGATTCCCAGGGCCAAATGACTCCCCGGCCATCACTAGAAGTACTCCTTTAGCACTGCCAGGTGTGATTCTCAAACAGAATGCACAATTAAACAAAAATGTTTCAAGGGCTAGAGAGAGTACAGATGGTAGGGTACCTGCCTTGTACACAGCCAACCTGGATTTGATCCATGACACTGCAAATAGTCCCCCCCAAGGCCTGCTGGGAGTGATCCCTGAGCCCAGATCTAGAAATAAGCTCTGAGCACAGAGAGAGAGACAGACAGAGAAAGAGGAGAGAGACAGAGAGACAAAGAGACTATAACAGTATAACCCAACCAGGGGAGAAAGTTTCATATTTTGCTTTCATTTCTCTTAACTTCATGGCTCCAGTTCTAACCTGCGTGTTTCTGTAGATTATAATTGAAACTATGGCTAATTTATAATCTCATGACACCAATTACTGGTTTTTAATTTTTATTTAATTTTTTTAATTGTTACTGTGTCTGGCATATCCAATACTCTCGGTAGCTTGCCGGGCTCTCCGAGAGGGGCGGAGGAATCGAACTCGGGTCGGTCATGTTGGCCGCTTGTATCACTGTGAGATACAGTTACAAAACTTTCATGTTTGAGTTTCAGTCATACAATGATCGAACACCCATCCCTCCACCATTGCACATTCTCCACCACCAATGTCCCCAGTATTACTCCCCCCCACTCCTTTCCAACCCTCCCCCCTGCCTCTATTTGCAGACAATTTCCCCCATACTCTCTTTCTCTGCTTTTGGGCATTATGGTTTGCAATAATAGATACTGAGAGGCCATCACGTTTGGTCCTGTATCTACTTTCAGCACACATCCCAACCCGAACGGTTCCTCCAACCATCATTGACTTTGTGATCCCCTCTCTATTCCAGCTGCCTTCTCCCCCAGCTCATGAGACAGGCTTCCAACTACGGAGCAATATTCCTGGCCCTTGCGTCTACTGCCTTTGGGTGTCAGTCTCATATTATTTTATATTCCACAAATGTTTGAAGTAATGACTGGTTACTTTAGTGGTACCCTTGGCTAGTTTTTTAACAGAGAGAATAAAAGGAAACTTTTTAAGCAACATTCATAGAAAATAGTCCATTGTACTATAACTTTGTGAGAAAAATGAGAGAAAATGATGTTTTAAAAACTTGAAAAAATATATTTTCATTTATGCAGAATAGGATAAATCAGTACACATGTACTTCATTTTCTTGGGTTTATATTTGGCTCTTACATAGATATTGAACATTACCAAATCTTTTTTATTCGTTCTCAGTTTGCTGAGTATAAAAACAAAAGTTAAGAAAAGAAACATAAAAAACCCTTCTTAGTATTTCAAAAAGCCTAAATTATAAATGTGCCTTTTTTTTTTTTTTTAATGACTGATATAGGGCCCAAAGAGCAGTCTCCCAAGTACTGCTGAGTGTGACCCCTGGGTAGACCAGGAGTAGCCTACGTGTGCTCTGCCCCTGAGCTCTGCCACGTGTAGCCACGTGTAGCCTAACCTCACTCCCAAATATCATGTATGTAAAGACTGATGGTATGAATGTTAAGATTTTCTTTGGATTTGGCTATAATTATTAACTTAGCATATTATTGCTTTTTTTCCAGTTTGTTTAGACTTTGTGTTTTTATTAAGAAATAACCTAGTTTTCCCCCTTACTTTGAATTTTGCTTTGTAAAAATTATATAATAATTAATAATTATATAAATTAAAAAGCATAGTGCTTCAAACAAATATAATTTTGTAATGTTAATGATAAGGTTCATGCATATAAAGTTCCAACATCATACCCTCCACCATTTTCTAAGCTTTCCCTCTCAATACACCCTGGCCTGAACTTGGTAAACTTAGTCCTGTAAACCAGTTCTCGGAGCAGTTTTTTATTAAATTATTACTTTTACTATAATAATAGTAATAATTTTATTAAATTATTACTTTTACATCTTTTTGCCTAGTAGGTAGTATTTTTCAAAGGATTATTTTTCATAAGAAAATGAAGTGTATCTATGCTTCTTTTTTGAGCAAATCTGTGTAAAGATTTAATCTCTGGTCAGTGCAAGTTGAAGTTAATTAATTTACTTCTTTGTGTGTTTTGGGGCCCTACCTAGCTATGCACAGGGCTTACTCCTAGCTCTTTGCACAGGGATCATTCCTGGTGATACTCAGGAAACCATATGGGGTAGTGGAGATTAAACTCAGGTTTGCCACATGCAAGGCAAGAGCCTTGCCCACTATATTGTCATTCCAGCTCCTCAGATGCTTTCTCAACTGTATTTTTGGCATCCATGTCAAATCACTTGGAGTGGACATTCGAGATGAAATCTAATTGCTATCCCAGTATAGTCATCCCTTGGTATGCACAGAACATTCAGAACTCTCCTCCCTTTACCCCCAATACCCAAACCTGCAGATGCTCAAGTCCCTTATAGTAAATAGTATAGCATTTCATATAACTATGCAAATCCATCTCCCATATGCTTTCTCATCCCAGGATTATGTGTGCTATCTAATACAATTGCTTTGTGTAATACAATTACTTTGTAAATAGTTATTCAGGAACGAATGATAAAACAAAAAAAAAAGTTTTGTGTTTTGGACCACACTCGGTGGTGCTCAGGGATTAGTGCTGTGGGACGATATGGGGTGCCAAGGATCAAATATGGGTCAGCCATGTGCAAGGCAAATGCCCTACCTGCTCAGGCCCAGGACAAGTAAAAGTAGGTATTGTTAGGAGAGATGCTGTCAGCTGGTTTAGTATTTCAAATTGAGGTACTGGTGGTTAACGGGAGCTTAAATGCTTATGTCCTGGAGGTGCAAAGATGCCAACTTGTCTCCCCCTTTGTCAGAACCTTCCGACCCACTGCCTTCCCCTCAGCACGCCTGCACTGCCTGCCTCCCACCCCTAATTGATCTCAGTTCTGTGGCTTTGTTTTTACTGGACATGATTTTCTTGCTTTGTTTCTTTTTATGCAGCATAAGTAGGACTCTGAGATGTTTGTCTTCTCGATTCTTGTGCTTAGCATGGTCCCTTCCAGTCCCATTCATGTCTTGCAGAGGGCACGATTTCATCTTTTCTTATGACTGGGCAGTATTCCATTGTGTATGTGCACCACATTTTTTTCCTTCTTTTTCTTCTGTTTTTTATAAAGGTGCCATGATTTGCAATACTATTAATGATACTTTCACGCATATATCATCCCAACACACATCACCAAAGTGTATTTGTTTTCTTCTACCGGTCCTAAGGACCCTTCCCATTTATCCCCTTTCCCCTAACCAGGTAAAGTTAGTTTTATAGACCAGCTCTGCAGTTCTGTCCATTATTCCCCCCCCCCAACACACACACACGTGTGTGTGTGAATATATATAAAAATATATATATGTATTTTTCTTTTTGGGTCACACCCAGCAATGCTTAGGGGTTACTCCTGGCTTTGCACTCAGGAATCACTCCTGGCAGTGCTCGGGGGATTATATGGGATGCTGGGAATTGAACCCGGGTCGGCCACGTGCAGTGCAAACGCCCTACCTGCTGTGCTATTGCTCCAGCCCCAGCCACCTTACTATATTTTAAAAAGTGGAAAAAAATATTTTTTTTACTAAGAATCTTTAATTCCCAAAGTACTGGAGTTTTTTTCTGTTTGTGATTAATTTCCATTTTCAAGCTCACCCACTGTATCTGCTGTGCTCTGAGCGTGTATCTTTAGAGCTCATGTGGGAGTATCTGAGGGATTCAGCTGACTCTTTATTTTTATGCCTTAATTGCATTTATTTATTTTTATTGAATCACCTTGAGGCACACAGAAAGTTGTTTATGATTGGGTTTCAGTCATACAGTGTTCCAACACCTGTTCCTGATTGGGTTTCAGCTGTACAGTGTTCCGGCACCCTTTGGCATCAGGCTGATCCTTAACCCTTTTCCCTCCCTGAAAGTTCTCTCCTAGTGCCTTCTTTTGGCTGTTTCTGGTTTGTGATTTTTGATCCTGATGGGGATTATGGGGCTCCTTTCAAGGCCACGGTGGCCCTTCCTCCTTAGAATAAGATCCAAGGCTCTGTGATTTATTCCCACCACTGCCTTTGGTACGGCTTTTCTGTGGGGTAGGTAGACAGGGCTCGGGGTAGGCATTACCATCATGAAGCTCTTGGTAGTAGCTAGAGCTGCTGTCGCATCTGTGTTCATTGCAGGAAATGTAAATATGTGCACTGTGAGGTTCAGTCAGAACTCTTAGGTCAGGAGACCAGCAGCAGGAAGCTGAGTCACAGGTGCAGTTTGTAGATGGAGTCTTTGGAGAACTGAGCAGGCAGAGGGTCTGAGGTGTGAATGTGGGCCCAGAGAGATGGCAGAGGATGGCTGTGGAGGCTGCTTGGGATTCTGAAGGAGAGGAAGGGAAGGGAATCTGTTTCCTAAAAGGTTCCACTCTCTTCATTCACTCTTTCTGACTCTAGTTACTTGGGTTATTTCCAGATATTTGCATTTGCAAGTAACATTGCACACATCATTCTGAATAAGAATGTTTGTGTTTTTGATAAAAATCGAATTGCTAGAAAATGTGGTAGTCCCATTTTTGGTATGTTCTTGGTCTAGATCACCTCGGAGGGATCATTAGTTTATATGTAGATGTGGACCTCAGGGATTCTAGTATGGAATTTTGTTTGGTGGGGTTTTTTTTTTCCCTCTTAGTTATTTAATCCCTCGATTAGTAAGAATTTTTATTTTGTGGGTGCATGAATTTGCAGCAATGGAATGAATGGGAAAGGAAGCCCTTGCGAACAGAGAAGGTCTCTGTTGCCTTTCATTACCTATTTACTTTGTTAGAGGGTTGGAGTTGGGGCCATGCCCAGTCATGCTCCGTGGCTTCTCCCTGCTCCTTGCTCCTACACCTTCCTGCGTTGTTTGGGAGTTTTGGTGTTGGGACCATCCTCGCATCTCTGCCGTGCAAAACATGCTCTCCAGCCTACTTATCTATCTCCCCACCTCCTGGTTGTTATTCTCATTTCACGTTTGTCTTTGAACTATATTTTCTGTGAATTAGAAATGTTATAGCAACATTTTTCTCTATACATTGATCAATGTTTGTCTTTCTAACCACAGGATCTACCAGACAGTATTCAAGTAGGTGGCAGGATATCACCTCAGACAGTTTGGGATTATGTGGAAAAAATCAAAGCATCAGGTACCAAGGTAATGAAAGGTTTTTCTTTCTGTACCAATCAGTATGACAAAATACTTGAAAAGTAAACCTTTAAAGAATTCTTCTGCAAGGTTCCCTGGGGAAGGACCAGTACAAATTCTATTCTGTATAATAGAATAGAACAAAATAAAACTGTATAACATCTCAAAGCAAAACTGAAGCCATTCACTAAGATTCAAAACAGCCCAGTATTCTTTGGTAAAATTTTCCTCCCTCTTTCCTTATGCTTTGTCTGTAATATCCTCAATGCTTTGGGGAAAAAGTTGTACCAGAAATATCAAGTTTCATCATGGAATTTTTTGTCTTGATTGTAAACATTTTGTTAGTATATTGGCTAATCTCTTACCACAAAGAAACTGAAATACATTCAGTATGGATGTTAGTTTTTCTCCTATTTTAGGTAGGTTTGCCATTTAGAATGGTTAAGTAGCTTTGGTTCTACAAATCTATTCAGTCACCCAGGGGCCTTATGACTTCTGTTTTGTTGTTTCCCAGTATTGGTTTGTTTGTTTTTTTCAATCAGCCGAACTCAGTCAAAGCTGACTTAATCAGCACAAAGTGGGAACACAGAAATAAAGAATCCCTGTTTAGTTGTTTTGTGAGTAAGTCCAAAAGTGCGCCTATCAGTTTCCTTATTTTTATGGGCAACAGTATAGTCATTTAGTTTTATATATAGTTTCTGAAAGAACTGGGCAAATAATCTTTATTGGTTGTCTTTGCACTCAGCGAAATGTTGGGACTTCTCTTGGAAGAATGAAGGGAGGTGGATAATGGGAGATAATTGGTAACCTTTACCACAACCATATTTCTTTTTCTTTCCTCTCTTGTATTCTGTCTCTTCTTAGCTGAGTTAAAAAAAAAAAAAGACTACACAAGAAAATATAATCACTAGGAAAATGCTTTAGGAAAATGCTTTTTTTTTTCTCTTCAAGATGAAGTTGTATCATTAGCTTTTAGAGTTGTATCATAAACCTTAAAAGAGGAACGTTTATATGCCATCTTTTATGTGAGGTAGAACCATGGTTTAACTCACTCATATGCTTTCTTTAGGTTTTCTATCATTTTAGGCTTGCAACAGATTGTTTCACACTGTCAAATAGCAGTTTAGGACTGTCTGTCAAAAAACTTGGCCAAGACCCAGGGGCAAGCAAATCATTTCCTGAATAAGCGAAATGATTTTACAAGCTTTATGGCCTGTGTATATTTGAGGTCTTTTCTCACGGCCTTTGATACCTAAATTCAGTTCCTGTGGCTTATCATGTATTTGAGTGTTTGTGATTGTGTGTAGTAGATAATTGTGATAAATGCTATCGATTAGAATCATACCAAAGATACAGGCATCCCTCTGTGAAAGTTGTCACATTGAAAATAAGGATATAATATAGATATTTAAAGATTTGGATGTAAATAGCATGTTTGCCTTGAGTGTGTTGCCCTTGGGCTCTATTTCTTTTTTTTGTTTGTTTTACAATTTTTTTTTCCCTTTTTGGGTCACACCTGGCAATGCACAGGGGTTACTCCTGGCTCTGCATTCAGGAATTACTCCTGGTGGTGCTCAGGGGACCATAAGGGATGCTGGGAATCGAACCCGGGTTGGCCACGTGGAAGGCAAACACCCTACCTGCTGTGCTATCGCTCCAGCACCCCTTGGGCTCTATTTCTGACAGGAAACCTTCAGCTATAACAAACAAGTATTATTGAATTAGCAAAGATCTTTTTCCGTGGTTTCTGAAGTCCATTTTTTCTGAGGTTCAATTGGGCTTTCTTTCAGTATTCTTTAGCATTCATTTTAGTACTCTTCATCTGAGTTAGTAAACCATTTTATTTGGTAGCCATCATTATAAAATACAGCAGATTATTTCTAATTTAGAGAGAGCGTAATCAGACTGTGTGTAGGTTATTATTTTAAACTTTTGCTTCATTTTGTTTTGAATAGGAAATCTGTGTGGTTCGCTTCACACCCGTAACTGAAGAAGACCAGATTTCTTACACTTTGCTGTTTGCGTACTTTAGCAGCAGAAAGCGCTATGGAGTAGCTGCTAATAACATGAAGCAAGTTAAGGATATGTACCTTATTCCTCTGGGTGCCACAGATAAAATTCCACACCCCCTCGTGCCTTTCGATGGACCTGGTAGGTATAGATTTTAATAACAGAGCACGTTAAAGTTAAGTGGGAGATTATTCCAGAATAAAAAAAATCTGACTGCTTTTCTCTTTTTTGAAACCCTCTAGAGCTGGCTTGGGAGGGAAAAGCACCCACTTACAGGGTGGTAAAAAAAAAATGCCAGATGCAAAATACATCCTTTATTGTTGTGGTTGGATGTGTCTATTTTTTATAATTTTTAAATTTCTTTCTCCTCTCTACAGGACTTGAACTCCATAGACCTAATCTGTTGCTGGGCTTAATTATTCGACAAAAACTGAAGCGACAACATAGTGCTAGTGCTAGTACCAGTCATCCAGCTGAGACTACGGACAGCGTGCCGGTAGCATTGCCACCTGATAAAAAAAGTAAGATGGATGTTTCCTTGGAGGACGCACCAGAGGAAGAAAATGACTTTTTCAATTCTTTCACAACTGTGTTGCATAAGCAGAGAAATAAGCCCCAGCAAACCCTTCAGGAAGACCTTCCGGCAGTAATTGAACCCTTGGTGGAAGCCACGAAGCAGGAGCCACCCAAACCTTTACGTTTCCTCCCGGGGGTATTAATTGGCTGGGACAATCAGCCTTCTACTTTGGAACTGGCAAATAAACCTCTTCCAGTGGATGATATTCTTCAGAGCCTTTTGGGCACCACTGGTCAGGAATATGAACAGGCTCAGGCAGGGACAGAGCAAAACACCCTGAAAGAAATTCCGTTTCTAAATGAGCAAGCCAACCCCAAAGCTGAGAAAATGGATAAAGCAGAAGCGACGGAGGTTGAAACCAAGGAGGGAGATGTTAAAATAGATAATCTCTCAGAAACGCCAGGTAATTCAGTAGTGTCAGAAGAGACCTCAGTCGCCGGGTCCTCTTCCATTTCTCCGGGACCTCTGACAAGTCTTAGTCTCCGAGGTAAACCACCTGATGTTTCTACAGAAGCATTCTTAACGAACCTAACAATTCAGTCAAAACAGGAGGACACTGCGGAGAGCAAAGAGAGACCATTAATAAGACAGCTGCTGCAAGAACAAGAGAATACCGTGCAGGATAATCAGACTTCAGGTACGAGTTCTCCGTGCAGGTCTAACGTAGGCAAAGGAAATGCAGACGGTAACGCGAGTTGCAGTGAAAGCCTGGTTGCCAACACCACAAGGTCCCCACAGTTTATCAACCTGAAAAGGGATCCCAGGCAAGCAGCAGCAGCAGGCCGAAGTCAGCAGGCAGCTGCTTCAGAGAGCAAAGAGGGAGAGAGCTGCCGGAATGAAGAAAAAAACACCCCGCCATCTCTGTTACACACAGAGAACGCAACGGAACAAATCCCAGTAGAGGACAATGTGACCTCCACGGAGAAAAACCCAAGTGTTCAGCCGAGTGAAAATGCAGTGGCTGCACAGAACTCTCCATCAGCAGAAAACGTACACGCTTCTCCAACAGACCAAGCCAAACCTCTGCAGGAGGATACTGTAATGCAGAATATCGAGACTCTGCACCCATTTCAAAGAGGAGCATCAGCAACAGCATCTCATTTTGAAGGTGGAGGCACATGTCAGTCGGAATTTCCTTCTAAAAGCACTAATTTTACTTCTAGAAGCACCAGCCCCAGAGCAAGTACAAACTTTGCACCTATGAGACCGCAGCAGCCCAACCTCCCGCAACTCAAGTCCAGTCCTCCTGGATTTCCATTTCCAGGTCCTCCTAATTTCCCCCCTCAGGGCATGTTTGGATTTCCTCCGCATTTGCCACCCCCTTTGCTCCCCCCTCCGGGCTTTGGCTTTGCTCAAAATTCCATGGTTCCTTGGCCGCCCGTTGTTCATCTGGCCGGCCAGCCACAGCGTATGATAGGCCCCCTTTCACAAGCTTCCAGGTATATAGGGCCGCAAAATTTTTATCAGGTGAAAGACATTCGGAGACCAGAAAGGCGTCACAGTGACCCTTGGGGTAGGCAAGACCAGCAGCAACTGGATAGGCCGTTTAATAGGGGGAAAGGGGATCGCCAGAGATTTTATAGCGATTCCCATCACTTGAAGAGAGAACGGCACGATAAAGAGTGGGAACAAGAATCTGAAAGGCATAGACGCAGAGACAGAACCCAAGACAAGGACAGAGACAGAAAAAGAGAGGAAGGGCACAAAGATAAGGAGAGGGCACGGCTGTCACACAGTGATCGAGGAGCAGACGGAAAAGCAAGTAGAGATGGTAGGAATGTAGACAAGAAACCAGACAAACCTAAAAGTGACGACCACGAAAAGGACAAGGAACGAGAGAAAAGTAAACACAGAGAAGGAGAAAAGGACAGAGATAGGTACCACAAAGATAGGGACCACACTGACAGAGCTAAGAGCAAAAGGTAAAAGTGGCAGGCTGCGTCAAAGATTCCATTTAAGTAACAGTTAAATGTTGTATCTGAAAAACTCTCTGATTGCCTGCTAGGATTGTGCCATCTCTAAAAGTTTTTAATATTGGTGATTTGCAGAACAATAAATTTGTGTGTTGGGCAGAGTGCTCGGTACCAGTGCTCATCATCCCTTCTTCATACCAACTGTCTCTAGTTAATAGGAATTTAATATTTTTAAAAGTTTTACATTGCTGTATATTCAAAGATTTGTTTTATTAATATACAATAAAGGCTTAGAAAATTTAGTTTTATTCTTTAATTGGTAAATATGGTTAACTATGGGATATATTTACTGCCTTTAGTGAATGTCCTTTATATAATGATTAATTTGAGAGTAATGTGTGCTCTATATGTTTGTTTCAAATTGCACTGTTTTTAAAGAGATTGTAGAGGAGCAACAAAAAGCCAAACCAGTTTCATAATCAGATTATATTAATCATTTAGTTGAGCGGTTTTTGACCAAGAATCAGAAGTCCAAGGAGTACATATATATTGTTTATAATCTATACTCATTGAAGGCGTTCGTTACCATGTCGCAACTTTGTGGTAGCCCATTACTTCCTTTTCATTTGGCTATTCAGAGACTTGAATACTTAAGCTTGTACATGATCTTGTGTTTTGCTATCCTTTTTACTGTAAAATGTAAATATTTTAAGGGATATTTTGATTCTAAATATGATAAAAGAATTTCTCACCTATTTTGTGTGTGTGATTTGAAACTGAGTAGTAAAAGAATTTCTTTCAAAGCTTTAACTTCCTTCAAGACATTTTTTCTTCTTTTATCCAAGCACATACAGAAAAAAAAAGCTGTTGGGGGGGTGAGCAATATTAGATTATACACTATTAGGATAATTCATATTTTAAAGAAGAATACGATTTAGAGCTCAAAATTGAACAAACATGCATCTATAATTCACTTCATAGGTATTTTTGATGGTTGTATACTATTTATAACCTGGTACGCTGACCACAGAACTTTTATTTAAGAAAAACGTTTTAAGATCTTTTTGTTAAAAGTGTTAACTCCTATTTGGGAGCAACTGTATTTTCTTAGACTAGTTTTTCCTGAAATGGAAATCTCTTGGAACTTATTGTCAATCCAAATCTAAGTTTAATCGTAAACTACATACATATTGATTGTTGTATTATAGAAGCTACTAAATAATGCAATTGAGAAAGTACTATTTGTGCTAATGTTCAAGGAAAATATTGTAAGTTAAAAAAATTAAAATTAACCTTTACTTTTCCAAGGTTTTAAATTAGCATTAAAAAAATAGATTTCAAAATTGAGCTGTTAAAAAAAGTAGATTTTAAAATTGAGCCTGGCTTTCTTTTCAGTCTGGACAGAAAAAGAATAGAAAATCTAAAACAAACATTTGATCAAATTTGCAACAAACTCTAGCCCCTCCTTTTGCTGTCTTAGCCTCCTAAGATTTATATTATGTTTTGGCTAATGTTTTAAGGAACCATAACTTATGTTATTCATAGTTGAGTTTTGGGCCTACAATATTCCAACACTAACCCCCCCCCGACTACCAGTGTCAACTTCCCTCCACCAATGTCGTTAGGTTCCCTCCACCCCCAGCCCACCTTCTTAACAGGCACACTATTTTCAGTTTGGTGATTGTAGTTTAGATTTCATCCTTCCAATGTTGTTGGTTTTGTGGTTTAGAGATATTACATTTACTAAACCTCTTACACCACTGACATGCAGGAGGGCCCAGACCTCTGCCTTTGTACTTCTGCCTCTGCTTACTCCTCCCTCTCTCCCCGGCTTCTTTCCTTCCTTGTCTTCGTTCGATAATGTTTAATTTCGGTCATCTCTTTGAAATGGTTAGAAAACATGTTGGTCTCTGAACAAAACCTAGCTTATTCTCTGGTCCTTTTCACCAGTATGAGGAAGTGGATGTCAAGGTTTTATCCCGCCAGAAAGATTAAAACTAAATGAAAAATTATGTTTTATCACAGATTTGTATGTTGTCTTCTTTTACCGGTTCTTCTGGTTAAAGGATGATTAGACATATTTTTTTTCCTCAAAGTTCAAGAAGGAATGATTAACCAATGGGAAATAAGTTCTGAAATCCGTTTTTGATTACCTCTTAACCAGTGGTTTCTTCCACATACTGTCTTTATGCTTACTTTAAAATTGTTTTCTTTAAAAAGTTTTTAAATTATTTTATTGAATCACCATGAGATACAGTTACAAAGCTTTCATGTTTGAGATTCAGCCATACCATGATCGAAGACCCATCTTCCACCAGTGCACAGTTTCCATCACCGATGTCCCCAGTATCCCCTCCCCCCTTCCTCTCAGTCCTCACCCTGCCTCTGTGGCAGACATTTTCCCCAATACTCTCTCTACATTTGGGCATTATGTTTTTCCCAAATTTTCCCACCACCATTGAAGCCTGCCTGCCAGGGGGCAGATGCTAGATCATTTATTGTTCATTACTTATTTTGAATATCATGGGTGCTGGTTCCACACACTTCTGGGATCCTAGGTTGTAAATGGTTGGGTTCCATAGACATCTCTGTAGGGCACTAATCTATTTTGGGATTCAGTTGGGAGGCTCTAGATCAGGGCTGTTGGTGTGCCAAGATGGTGCCAGGCGGAAGCTTGTGGGTGTGACAGCCAGGCTGAGGAGCAAGCAGAGAGCCAGGGTGGGACCACCCAGCGCCTCTGCTGTCATGTGGCCTGGAGATTGAGTTCTTGTACCCACATACCTGGGTCTTGCTTGTGGAAGCTTTTGGACGCCAGGGTTCCATCTGGAGTAGGCGGTAAGATTATTGTTAGCTCATTCGTCATCCCAGCCAAGCTCCTATTTGTGATAACCATTTCCTGAGATTTGAGCTACTAAGTGCTAGAATGTTCATCTCTGTATGAATTGTTGTGTGGAGTACGAAGAGTAGGAACCATATTGATGGCTTGAGATTTTAGCTTCTGAGGAAATAAAGGGGAAATAAGAAGCGTTTTCAGTCAGTACTTGTCCGAATTTATTTTAGTATTCAATCTTTTAGTATCTACAACTAACCTTAAACAAATTGGTGAGTTAGTTAGACGTTCATCTTTTAGTTTCTCCTTGTTATATGGATATTGTGCTCTTTAAAACTACTTTGATATGACCATCTGTTCCTCTATCCTCTGTCTTGCCAATACAGTTGTCTCTGTATTTACACTGGAATTTCTGCTGCTTAAAAATCACATTCCAAATAAAAGAAAAAGAAACTACTGCTCCTTGAAGCACCAAGAATATACAACTCATTTCCATTTTCTTTTCTAGAATCTTCCCTCCTGTCTGCTCTGTTTTATTGCTATGCATCTTTTGAGTTGAATTTCAATTCCCACTTCCTAGATAATTTGAATCCATGTGGACATCTTCCTTGATGGCCCAGAACACTCATCGGTAACAGCCATGTTAGCATGTAATTGTATTTGAGATGCTAATGTTAAATTTGCTAATGTTGGGCTGGAGCAATAGCAGAGCAGGTAGGGCGTTTGCCTTGCACGCAGCTGACCCATGTTTGATTTCTCCGCCCCTCTCGAATAGTCCAGCAAGCTACCAAGAGTATCACACCCTCACAGCAAAGCCTAGCAAGTTCCCCATGGCATATTCAATATGTCAAAAACAGTACAAGTCTCACAATGGAGACATTACTGGTGCCTGCTCAGCAAATTGTTGAACAATGGCAGAACAGTGCTAGACTATGCTAGAATGTTGACTTACTTTATTAAATCTGAAAACAGAAGAAGCATATGAAACTTCCTGAAAGTCGGGCAATAGTTTTCATTTTATTATTTATTTATTTATTGCTTTTTGGGTCATACCTGGTGATGCACAGGGGTTACTTCTGGCTCTGCACTCAGGAGGTACTCCTGACGGTGCTCAGGGGACCATATGGGATGCTGGGAATTGAACCTGGATCGGCCGCATGCAAGGCAAATGCCCTGCCCGCTGTGCTATCTCTCCAGCCCCATAGTTTTCATTTTAAAATGCCCATCACAGTGGCAGGTGGGGAGAGGAAGGTGGTGACGAGTGGGGTGAAGGGAGTATGGAAACGCTGATGGAGGGAAGTTGACACTAATGGAGGGATTGGTGTTGAATATTGAATGACAAAGACTCAAATATCAATAACTTTGTAAATATTAGTTCTATAATTAAATTTTTTAAATCTTAAAAAGCAAGAGTCTGGGATTTATGATAAAAAAAAACCCTACTTTAATGCTTTTTGAAAATTAGAACAGGCTCAAGAGAGTTCATACATACATCTATACTGTTGGTACTCAGATATCTTAACTATCAATTAAGACCACCCACTGGGGCAGTAAGACCATCATGATTCCACAATGTAAAACCTGATGTGGAACACTTCATGTAAACCTTGGTCATCTTACGAAGCCAAGAGTTACATTAGACTGCTGTTTGGTAGTGATAGAGTTCTACCTTGGTTCTACTTTTCTCCAAGTCCACATGTGTGCCATCTGTCTGAGAAATGAGAAGAAGCAAGAGGGACACAGAGTTATTACTATGTACCTGTTGCATTGAAGATCCTCTACTGAGCTACCTGGTTTCTCAAAGTAATAAAAAGGCTCAGTCGAGAACCTTTGTGTAAGGCTGGAGTGATAGAACAGTGGGTAGGGCATTTGCCTTGTTCATGGTCAACTTGGGTTCCATCTCTGACAGTACATACGGTCATGTGAGCTCTGCCAGGAGTGATCCCTGAGTGCAGAGCCATGAGTAACCTCTGAGCCAGGTGTTGCCCCCAAACAAAAGCACACACAGTTCAGCAATCCCTCCATCTCGCTCCCTCTTTTAGTGAACAAAATGCCTCCTAGTTGTACCCCAGACTTAACACCAGACTGTATTGCCCTACCCCTTATGTATATGATACCACTCCCTACCCCAGGGGCATGGGGTGGGGTTGGTTTCGTTGACTACGAGAAAAACTACAGTAGAGACTGTTTTTGCTTCCTGGTTCCTTTGTTTTCAAAGCCAAAAATGTGGGCTCAAGTCTTCAGTATACATTTTTGACCCTAACCTTATTTCCTTACCTAGTTTGAAGTATCCTTGTGATTACACTGCACTATATCTGACTAGAAACCCAGAAAAGCCAGGATAATCTTCCTATTTTAAGATCTGCTGATTAGCAAATCTAAATTCCATCTGTAACCTCAATTCCCGTTTTGTCCTGTAACCTAATCTAAGCGTGTCCAGTGAACAGTTTGGGAGCCATTCTACTTACTGCAGTTCTTACTGGTTCTGGCATTGCTGTGGGTGACTTAATCCCAAAGTTTGGGAGTACAAAGCATCTAAGATTTGACGAAAAAAAAAAAGCATCTAAGTATGTTTAAGAGTAAAACGGGTGAAGGGTGCAGGGAACCAACAATAGGGCAAAAGCAATTTTGGACCCCTCTAACTGGTTAGAATACTTATTGCTTATAATTGACTACGAAGGACAGTTTGCATAATCAATGAAACTTCCGTTTCATAAATCATGAGTAAAATTGATAGTGCTTTTATAAGGTGTCAAGCATTCCATTTTAGGGGGGTTCCTGTTTCATAAAAATTTCAGTAATTTATATTTAAAACATGCACAAATAGATGAGTTCAAAACATGAAAATGGCAATAACTGGAAGAATCTTTAACAAGTTAATTGTTTAATTTTTTGCAGAACTGTCACAGTAAACACTGGTAAGGCAGTGAATCTTTTAACAATACCCTTAAATACCTGTTTCTGGCGCCGGAGTAAGTAC